GTTTTCCAACAGTATGCATTGTTATTTGTTCGTTTTTTTATATAGACTAGTCCCATTTTTCATAACTTCTCGCATTGGTATAATATAAATGTATTTTTGAAAAACTATAGTCCCGTAACGCTACTTAATGTAATGTACAGACTGTTAACAAAACTACTAACAAACAGATTAACAACTAAGTTAGATAATTACCAGTCAAGAGAGCAAGCCGGTTTTAGAAAAGGATTCAGTACAAGCGACCATATGCTTATGATAAAAATATTAATTGAAAAGGCCAACGAATATCAAATTCAAATGTATATGGCATTTGTGAATGAAAAAGCATTCGATAAGGTGGAACATTGGGCAGTAAAGAACTCTTTACAAAATGGGAGAACAGACTATAGATATACCGACTAAATTTTTAATATTTATGATCAAGCAACAACATCCATTAAAATAGTTGAACAAACGGAGCCTATTAAGATACGGCGAGGAGTCACACAGGGTGATACTATATCACCCAAACGGGGTATTAACATAAATGACCAATACTTGAATCACTTGCGATATGCAGACGACATTGTATTAATAACAGATAAAAGGGAAGAATTACAAAATATGATGGATGAATTAAATAGCGAAACAAAAAAAAATAGGTCTATAAATGATTTATACTAAAACGAAATTTATGACCAACCAATTAGAAGAATTAATAATTACAATTACACAAACAACTATAGAACAAGTAAAAGAACATGTATATTTGGGACAACTAGTTAAATTTAAAAACTCATAAATAAATCAGACCGGAGAAATAAAGAGAAGGATACGGTTAGCTTGGGTATCCTTCGGAAAACTTTCCCAAATACTAAAAAATAGAAAATACCCCCAATATTTAAAAACAAGAGTCTTCAACCAATGTATACTTTCTGTTTTCACCTACGGTTCTCACACTTGGACGTTTACAAAAGAAAACATGGAAAAATAGCAAAGACCCAAAGAGCCATGGAAAGGCAAATGCTGAACATCGGGCTATCAGACAAGAAAAGAAATACTTGGATCCGCATCAAAACAAAAGTGACCGATGTATCAACGCAGATATCATAACTTAAGTTAAAGTTCGCTGGACATACTATAAGACAGAAAGACTACAGATGGAATAAGGTGATTATACACTGGAGACCATGTAGTTACCAACAAAAAAGACGAATGCCACAAATGAGATGCTCAGATGACTTCAAGAAACACGCAGGTCCGAAGTGAATACAAACTGCCTACAATAGAGAGACGTGGAAGAAGAAAGAGGAGGCCTATATCCAAAATTGAACAGCAAGGGCTATATAGATAGATAGAAATACACTTTTCTTCTCGATAGCTCTTAAATTCTAGTATTTGCTCTTTTTCTTTCTAGAAAATTTAGTCGTACACTTAAATCTGCAACGTTCTTTACATGGTGGCCTAATTTCTCTGGCCTTTATTAAGTGTATTATATGCTTTTTCGCAATTTCTTAAAGTTATGGCTTGGTTTCTCTTCCAATTTTCGGGCATCCCTTTTCTCTTCCTTCTTTTCTTCATCACCTCAGGTTGTTCTGTAAATTTTTTTTTGTTAAAACTCCTAATGGCACATTTTCGTCGCAGCTTAAAGATATGTTTGTGTTGCCGTCATAATTTGGATTAACAATAGATACATCTCAAAAACCGGCAATTTCCTCTTTTTCAAAAGGAGTATTTACATCTACCAAAGAGAAATTGGTTTTCTATTAAATTTTTTTTAGATATGTGCAGATCTTTTAGTTGTTCCAACAAAGTATATTTTACTTCCATTGCTACAGCAGTTAGTAATTGAATATCATTACTTTTTACAAAATCCATGTTATTTCCTAATGTTTCAACATGGAGGGTCTCTTGTTCAAATTCAATAACATACTCACCAGAAGTCTAATCTGATGCGTTTTTATTCTCGACATGACTCTGAAACGAGTGGTGTAATATTCCAAATATTATTATCATAGGCCGAGATGCGCTACTATTGCATCGAGTAAGAGGTATATAATAATTAGACTTCGGCAAATATGCAAATAAAAATGTAGAAAATATGCGCATACATATGCACGTGTTTACCCGAAAATATGCAAATATTTTACAAAATATGCATACAAATAAATAAAAAAATCGTAAAATAGTAACAATTTTATTTAAAAAAAAAGTGTACATAACTAAATATTTCCTACTATTCATTAAGATTTACATTTATTTTAAGTAACTACATCATTTTTAAGTATGAATAAACTTATTTAGAATTATGGTAACAATAAATGACCAAGTGGTGTTCAAAATTTTCTAACAAAAACTTGTGGCTTCTGTCTGAGTACATATATTTATATATGGAAAAACTTCCTTCAACATCAACTGATGTAACGGGAGCATTTTTCAAACTAACCAAAACATTTGGTTCTAAATTAATTGTTTCCGAAATATCTCCAGCTAGAACACTGACTACTTCAGAAAGAATATGGTAACCTTTATTTTTTTCCATAGTAGCTTCAAATTTTTTTAAAATATCTTTTCCAATATTACCTCTAACGTTCCGACAACATGACGCAAATTCTTTTATTAATGCTGTACTTTCGAAAAATGACAGTTTTGGTGATTCTAACTGAGTAATTGATTTTTGAACAAAACTAAAATTTGATTTTATAAATGAAAGTTCTTGTTGAAGCAAGTTACTCTGAAAAGTTTGTTTAGAATCCAAAAGAGATTGGGAACTTTCATCTGTTAACGTATCAATTATGTTCTTTATTTTAACAAAATGATCTGCATAAAAATTAGCTGCTTCTGATGCGATGGGAACCATGTTCCCCATCGCGTTAAAATAGGTTGTGGTGAAAGAGGAATGTTAGGTAGCATTTCTTTATAAAGTTGAATTCTTATAGGAGATTTAAGAAATACTTTTTTGACACTGGATATCATGGTATTTACAAAAAGAAACTTTTTTCGTATTTCCTCTGCAACTCTGTTTAATCCATGCGCTACACAAGTAACATGTATTAAATCTGGGGAAAATATTTTTAAATTTTGTAATGCTTTCACCATATAAGGAGCAGCATCCGATAAAATAAGCAGTAATTTATTAGAAGGAATAGTTGTCGGAAGAAAAAAAGTTGCTAATGTTTCTTGTATAAAACGCGAAATTGTTAAAGCATTTGTTTTCTCAAGTTGCTGGCATGAAATAAGATGAGATTTTGGTAAGGTATCTTCTTTAAGAACACCAATCAATAAATGAGCAATATACTTTCCTGAGGAATCAGTGGTTTTGTCTACAGATATGTAAAAATAATTATCTGCAATTTCTTCCTTAATATTAATTAACACCGACGAGTATAGCCCGTTCAAATTATTTCTTCTTAGAGACCGTTCACTTGGAACATTAAGTTTGCAATATTTTTTTAGAAACGAACTAAAATTTACATTTGCTAATTTTGAAAGCGGTATGTTTTCAGACACTAATGCGCGACACAAGTCTTCATTAAAAGTTTCCTGCTCATCTAATTTTTTTGAAGTAGATTGGAAACATTTAGCCATTGAAGTTTGATGTTTTCCTCCTATTTTTCCTTTTTTTGCAATGTGTGAAGCAGTTCTCACATGTTGGTCTATCTGAAATTTCTTCTCACATGCTATCTATAAATAAAAATAAAAACCTTTATAATAACCTTTATAATAACCCAACCTTTAAAATATAAAAATATACTAGGTGTTTTTGGTTAATCAAATAACTGGTTTGGAAAAAAAAACACTCGCTAAGTGTTTTAAATGCAGTATTAATCCACAAATTAGTTTTTGTTACTAACCATTAATACATCATATAACTTATTTTAAAATTCAACAAAAGTTTTTTTTTGTTAATTCAATTACAATAAAAAATTGTGGAAGGTGAAAAATTTTTCTAAATACACACCATTGTATTGTACCATGGACAATTTTTTCTCACTAAAGGAAGCTATTTTTTATTTAAAAACAACCTACGAGTACTAAATTTCAAGTAAATACGTTTATTGGTTTTAAAGTTATTGTTGTTATTAACTAAAAGAATTTAATTTTTTTTTAATTTTAACACCCTGTATCTCGAAAAGTAAATAAGTTTGACCCCTCATTAACTTTATCGTTTTGTTCAATTTTTCGAGAAGTATCTACAGTCAAACGTTGTAAGTGTCATTTGGAAACACCCTGTATGTATGAAATATTAGATATTTAATAGAAAATATTAGATACTTACAATTTTGCCACAGACTGAACAGTAGATTTTTCCCATATCCATAGACAGCTCTTTATAAGGTTTAATCCAAGTTGAAGCACTGGTTGTTTTAGGCATTATAAAATCACAATCTTCCTTTTTGTGACGCACAACGATTGTTTACGCTTTGAATATCAAAACAAAAATGATTTACAAATCTGAGCATCAAATTAGAAATGTTTAGGTACCTAATTCAATAAACTGGGAGATTTTGGAAAATCCCTAAATTAGGAACAAAACTATTAGCCGTTTACCTGCTGTTAAGATACAATAAATTGTAGATGGATTTGGGGATTAGATCATAAGATGCAAATGAGCGAACCCTTAGCGATTATTCAATAACTGAATTTCTCAGTGACCGAGACTTTCTAAGAATGTTGAGGGCTACTTAAATTGATCTTCTTTGAAATTGTAAATGTTTTGTACCTGTAGAGATTACGTACTTAGATCATTTCTTGATTAAAATGACTACAAAATTTTATACAAGAATTGAAATAAATTGGTTAGTTTAAAAATTTTCAAATACAGTATAAAAATCTGAGCTTTTATGCACTTTATGCAAACTTTTATACAAATATGCCAAAATATGAAATATTTGCATAAAATATGCACAATATGCAATATGCATATTTGCCGAAGTCTAATAATAATTTATAAAAGTTTTAAAAAATGAGCAGTATTTTGGTCAAATATGAGGGTTTATTGGTCATATTAATAAAAAAATACACACAAGTAAAAAGTAACATTTACTTAAAAATTGATAACATTCGATTAAGACTGAACACTTCTTAGTATATGTCTACTATAATTTAAGAAAAAATTTCTAATTGTAGTGCAATTTCTGAACAAAGTAGTCATCAACGAACATTACAACATTAAAGGACAATTAATTGACAGAATTTGTTTACATGTTTATTTACACAATTGGCTACACTTCTCAATTGTTTTCTTTATCGTATTAAGTTATCTATTAAGTAGTTATAAAAACAATGTCACGTAAACATATTCATTACAATAATATTTAAAACACATTTTATTTATTTAATCCGCTGGCGCCAAAATAAAATACAGGAATCTAATGGAATATATTAAAAATAAAATGATTCAGGAAAAATCAGAGTATAAGGCACAAGTTCTATATTATATAATGACTATGCTATCACCTACAATTCAGACTCTTTTTCACTTCTGTTGGATTTGTATGGATATATGCCGATAACCTTGCTGTGCTGGTAGTGATGCGGGATGAACCAGATATCAAATACTGGGTTCGGAACGCAGGCGTCCTGAAGAAATGAATCCAGACAAACTCTATAGAGAAAACCGAAGCGATTATTTTAAAGGGGAAAAGGAACAGGCAAAGTGTGGAAGTACACTCACTATACAGGGGTGTGTCTAACACTCAATAAACACGTACAGCACCTGTGTGCTGTGTGGGGAGCACGTGGAGGAGGTGACACAAAAGGCTGCGGCTGTTAAGGAGGGTGATGTCCAACATTGGGGGACCCAAATTGGAAAGAAGGAGGCCCTTACACGGTTTTGTGAAGTCAATTGTCCTCTACGCAGCACCAGTCTGGAGTGGAACGGTAGAAATAACGGCTTACAGAAAACTCATGACAATAGTGGATAAAGGACTGTTGCGAGTGACATGCAGCTACAGGACGGTGTCTGCTGCAGCCGTGTGGGATGAAAACGCGCACACTGTGACACACACTCGATATTATGAGTTGAATGGAACAGATGGATAGTAGAAAGGAACAGAATGGAAAATGAGACGTGAATTTTGTTACAGGGAGAGAAATGACTAAGAAAATGATTGAAAATAAAGTAAGTTGGATCTATATCCATGCAGTGATCAAGAAGATAGAAGAGGAAGAAAGACAGCTGGACCAATAGCATAGATAAGAGGCAAAGATTTTGTAAGTTAAGGGAATACGTCATGGGGGACGTAAAGTGAGTTAGACTGTGTAAGTCAGTCTGTAGGGAAGAAGGAAATTCGTGGCTGGGAATGACGCCGCACTAGGAGCGATGAGGGTCTTCCACGCGCTACCTGGAATGGGGTTCCTCACAAAAAAGTTTTTACGACCAACAAAAAAGGAAACGTAAAAGATATACGGAGCATCCTTGCTACCAGTCGCAGGATAATGAAGGTAGGGCTTCAGAAGTGGATGCTCAGTATTACAATAGTGATTCCGCTTTCAAAACACTGGATGACAGAGGAGGGTCTTGTTTAACAACGTTCGGCGCCGACTCGGCGACGAGAGGGCATTTTAAAGTACCTCGAGAAATATCACCGATATATAAAATAACTTATTGTTATGTATTGTGTTGTTATTCTATACGAATAAGTTACTACAAAGAAGGATACAACGAAAATGTATACAATGGCCAAAATTAGAACAATAAATGCAGAAAATCTATGGAAAAATACTTTGACTATTTACTAAACGAAGTTTTTAAGAAAATGGTCATCAAAATAACGAATTAGAAAATGGCTTTAAATAAATAGCACTTTAAAAATAAAAAAAAAAGATACAGCAATTGGACCATATAATATCTTTTTGAAAGTCTAGAGAGTAGTGTAGGAAATAAAAAGAAGTAGGCTAATACGTTTCTTTAATAGAATTATGGACGTCGAATCAATTTCAATCTAATGAAGAAATGGTATAGTAGTACCCATTTACGAAATCAAAGGAGATATTCCACAATGCACAAACTACAAGATCATAAAATTACTTGGTTTCACCATGAAATAGGGTAGGTTAATTGACAGACAAATATGTGAGAAAACTGAAATATTCGAAAAGGACGAGTTTTGATTCATGCACATAGGGTGTTGATGTATAGGGTATTCATTGATCTTGAGAAAGCATTTGATAGAGTTTCTCCAAATATTTTGTAATAGGCATCCTAGAAATAACTACTCTCCGGTGAGTATTTGATAAATGGGAGATATACATGAGGGTATACAATACAGTAGGAGGGAGTAACAGCTAATGTTACGTGTACCAGAGAATAATAAATTTCATGTATAAGTAGAATTTCATCAGGGCTCAGTTCTTAGTTCGTTTTTATTTTGCTTATTATTGTATATTTATAGTATATAGCATTGTTACAAAATTTCATGCTTAAGGATTTTATGCTGAATATCTGCTGATGATTTAAATAAATTTTTTTTTTATTTAAAATAAAAACTGGAAATCTGAAAAAAAGGATTTGAAACTTATTAGAATACTAAGTAAATATTTGGAACGTTCATTTAATGATAAATTTACTGCTATAAATGAGATGATCGCATTAGATGGTAAAAGAATTGTGGAAATCTGTCACCGGTACAAAGGCAAATAAAATATTGATGATAATGATAATGAAGATCTTCTACAAAAGACATATACCAACTGCATGATAATTATTGGATACAAATATTAAGGTTTTTTTTTCAAATAAATGTCATGGTATGTTGTTTCCTATGTTAAGGTTAAGGTCTGGAATTATTACTTCCTAAGGTATCGTTTGCTGTGGTACATATATTACATATAAGAAACAATATATTATGTTATGTGTATTTTATTTTGACGCATGTAATTTAAAATATAATGCACAATTCATTTGCTTGAATCAAAATATTATTAAATATAGTTGTAGTATAACGACAAAAATATTAAAAAGTTTTTTTCCCATTTAAGATAAGACAGAAAAAATAATGAATATAATTAAAATTATAGTTACGAAATTATCTAAATTAAAATATCGACGTAAAAGCAGAAGATCCGTAAATCATCTGCCAAACATCTTGTTCACTTTATAATGATAATAATTAATAAACAGTAAAACATTAGTAAACAGAGACAAACCTGAAAAAAAGAGATACTATAACTAATAAAATAATCTATTACAAAGAACAAACACTTAATGAGAAATAAAGAAACCGACAATATAGCCAATAATGGCCAAAAATGATATTAATGACCAATACACAAGATGGAATGATATGAAAAAGAACAACATTAAACTATTCTGAGAAATTCTGGTCTATATTTGATATTATAAAGATACAAGTAAAATTTATTTGAAATAAAAGACTTGAGGAATTTCTGGAATATTTTATAAAATTGTATACGGTATATAGATTCTATATATAACTGTTCAAGCTTCTAATGAAGATTCCCAAGTATTAGTATGACTAAGTAGTATAGAATCCTTCATTTTATATTTTTCGTTAAAACTATAACAGAAATTATTTTCGACATACCAATACATCCAGTATAGTGCAAATGAAATGAATAACTTGCTTATGTCATATTTCATAGAGTTTAGAAGCAAATTTTGACTCAATTGCATGAGTATAATGTTTTTTTTTTGTTAATAATAATACAACCAATGCGAAACTTATACCTTTTAAATGATTCCTTTAAATATCTATCCCGATCTAAACGTACCAATAAATTTTAAGTAATTTCGGGTTTTCCGCTATTACAAGCTTATTTGTAAAATTACATAACATCGTAAGTAGTAATTTACAATTTTTTATTTATACAAAAAGTAAATTTGATTAACAACGTCATTGGAAAAACATTTTACGTCCTTCTTTAATTATTTTATTAAAAAAATTGTTCTTATCAAAATTATTATAACGAAATTAAATTCCAAAAGTAAATTGTAATAATAATCGAATTATATTCAATAAATTATTTTTTAAACCCTTAATTGCTCAGGTGACCCCTATGAGATTAAAAATATTTTAAAATCTTTGTTATAAATAAATTTTCGGAAGCCTTTTTCTGAACACCTTTTGTTACATTAAATTCTACAAAGACAATAGATGAGATAAAGTTGATGACTAATAATAATTACGTTCACCAAGAACACCTTACTTTACATTATCTTAATATCTTAGATAAATTGTTCAAAACATGATTTCCGATTATCTTTGTATGTTGTTGACCATAAACAAAAAATATTTTTAACTTTGGCTCCAGAGTCGAATAACCTGATAGCGTACAACAATTTCACATTTTTTACTTCGGCTCCAGACTCTGTACCTGATGGCGTACAGAAATTTTACGTGGCTTTAAAGTGTTAAAATGAAGCTTAAAATTAAACGCTAAAAAGAAGTTTATTCAAGAAGAAATAAAGCGAGACGGTTCATAAAAAAATTCTTCCGTAAAGTAAAAGAAAAAAAAATACCAAAAACCCAGAGATTATAAATTTTTTAGGCAATAATGAGTTACGAAGCTGAACAAGAAGGAATTCGCAAACTTTGGTAACAATTCTATCGGAGAAAGAGCCTGACGACAAAGAAGATGAACTAGACTTTGATGAAGATGTATTGAAAAATCGAAATTGTGACAGTAAATCAGAGCAAGATTGTGAGTACGATGTATATTGTTTCTCATTGGGGAGTTTAAAGTTTTTGGTGGTTTGTGTGGGTGTGGTTTTCCCTATGAATGTGTCGGAGAAAGAATGGGAATCGATTGATAGCAGGGCACCAGGCTTCTTTCCTAATGTCTGGAGTTTAAAATAAAAAAAAAATATATCTAAGTATAAAAAATAGATTAAACAATATCGAAGATATTGTTTAATCTATTTTTTATAATAGATTAATAAACATAATGGGATGGAGATTAGAAAAGTTTCCAAAAGTTTTTGATAAAGTTCACAAAAAGACTTCGTGTATTTCATTGTATTTTAGCTGGGGTTGTACATGGAATTAAATTGTATTTAAAAAACCAGATTATTAATTTCAATAATAAATTTTTTACAGTAAAATCATAAAAACTGTTTAACATCGCACATTATCTATCGCATAACCGTATATTCCAACTAAAAAACATTGATAACGTCCTTGCGATTATGATATATGACATAACGAATCAAAATAAATTAATCTGAAAAACGTGCATTTGAAAATAAAATCAATGAGTTTCAGAATTTGTTTCTAAGCTTAAGAAAATACCACATAATGCATTTATTTTATTTGTTCGCACTGTACTTTATATATATTATATTTGAAGATCAATGTGGTAATGCATTGTTACAGCAATACAGGTGATAAAATACAGATAATACTAAATATTGTTTTACTATGAGGATCGTAAATACGACATTTACAACCAGAAAATAATAAAACATTTGGAAACATTGGAATGGATAAATTTTTATGCAGACCAAATGTTTACTTGTTTTGGGAAATTTAATAACAATAAATCTAACACGATGAAACCTATGATTAAGATTATAAATATTTAAATAACGAGAACTCTCGAGTTAAAAACATATTTATTGACAATGCTTATACTAACAATTAAGTTAAGCATTCATTAATGCTAAAAGAAAAGCAATTATCGTAAGAACAGTAAAGGTTTGAGATATAGACACTGAATGCGGCAATATTCGAAGGCTTTGGGGCATAAATGAAGATGATAGTCAAGGGTTAAAAAAATCGAAAATATGGTTGACAGGTGTTTTAAATTAATCAATTGAAAGTGGCACTTGACGGAAACAACACGATGAAGGAAATCGAAATAACTCAGAGGTTAATAGAAGTCGTAAAAAACCTTTACAACAACAACAAGGTAAGAGTTAAAACCGGCAATAACTGGCTAATTGGTCTTTACCAAAGCCATCTAATTAAGTAAAAAAACCGGCAATAAATACTCCAACCAATTTAAGACCACAAAAGGCTTTTTGCAAAGATGCTCTACATCTCCGACACTGTTCAAGATATTCCTCAAAAAAATATTAAAACCATCGAAAAAGAAATGTGAAGAGATAGGATTACCAATCCGGGACAACTTCTTGTACACAATAAGCTTTGCAGATGACCAAGTGGTAACGGCTAAAGATGAAGAAGATCTGTGCTATATGCTCCAAAATTTAGAAAAAGGATACACAAAAAATGGACTGGAAATAAACCTAAAAAATACCGAATATTTAATAACAGAGCAAGAACCAGTGAGATACTAGGAAATGGACAATAATAGAGAAATTAACGGCACTAAAAAATCCAAATATTTAAGATTCATACTCTCAAAAAATAGAACCACCGAGCAAGAGATAACCAGCAGATTAGCACAGACAAGAACATGTATTAAACAAATGAACGGGGTACTGTGAGATAGACAGATTATCAGAAATACAAAGAAGAGAATTTATAACACCTTAATACGCAGTATAATGACCTATGGAGCAGAGAATTGGGTAATAAATAAACAAATCAGGTCCAAAATCACAGCAACTGAAATGGAGTTCATGAGAAGAAGCTGCAGAGTGACAAAAATTGATCGCATCAGAAATGAAGAATGGCAGTAGAACAAGACATACTCAGCTATATCGAAGAAAAACGTTTAATTTGGTATGTGAGAAAAATTTGTTCTTCTCACATGTCCATACATGTCAAGAACAGATCATATAAGGTGGATAGCAGAGATTTCGGATTGGAGCCCAATAGGAAGAAGGAAAAGAGGTAGACCCCAAAGATCATGGAGGGATGAAGTGGACGAGGCCATGGATAAACGAGACTTTAGAGATGGGGAATGGCAGATCAAATAGGACTGGAGACGTTGGCTTAAAGAAGGAAGGAGACGACAGCTGTAACACTCCTTATATAGATAGCTAGAAAGTTAGGCGAAATTTAAATGGATATGACTCAAGATTTTGAATAATAATTATCTCTGAAAATGTAAAACTATACGTGTTACATAAAAATAAACAATAATTATAAACTAAATATATTATTTTTACTTTAGAATGAAAGATTTGGATGAATATTGGATAGCACATGTTTAAAAATAAAATATATATTGTTTAATTTGTGGTCTACTCATATTTGGTTTATTTTAAACGCGATATTTGATAAGAGTTAAGATCGTTTAAGGAAATAGATTCAGAATATTATTGGGGGAATATAAAGAACATCTCTAAGAAAAAACAAAAATAAGGGGGTCAGTCTTAAAGTTTCAATATGTTTGTCGTTAGTACATACTTTAAATTAAAAAAAGAAAATATTTTTTTTGATTTTAAAAAATTATTTTTTTATAAATAATCCTCATCCTTTGCAGGTTATTTGTCAATTACACATATTTTAATACTTATAGTTATCGAGTATCACGTCTCTTCTTCCTTTGAAACTGAATTCAACAGTATATACATCGTCTACTTAAACTCTAAAATTATTTTAAATATTTACACTTGTTATATTCGAAAAAATAAGCGTGAAAATTAAAATTTCCGTGTAGTTTTCTACACTGGTAAAAAATAGCCCTAACAATAATTAACAATAAATTACGATATTCTAGCAATACTGTTCTCTATTGGAATCTTCAGATTGTATGATGCACACTGTACAGCATCGTGAACACTGGGGAATATTCTTAAGAAATCTTTTTCCTTCGCCAGAAGATCACATTTCTCCAAAGTGTTGTAAGTACGATCTGTAAAAATATAAAATAATTTATTGTACCATATGTTTATTATAAAAACAAATTACATAAAATATGTTGTTTTTGTATGGATATTGGTACACAACATTACATTTAAAGATTTACATGAAAAATGCTAACTGATAGAGCAGGAGTCACAGTTATATTCCCTGAGGGTCCGTTTTGAAAACCTACTACACTTCCGCGGTCCGGATATTCAGTACTAAGCCAAGCAGTGGCGTAACCGAGGTGTATGTTACCCTGAAACCCTCCAGTAGTTGTAACCTCTCCTGAGGAGATCATTCTTGGAACGTAGTTATCCTAGTTTCTGGAAGGGGTGCGTTAGTTTAAATAAATTAATGATTCTTCTTCTTCTTCTTCTTCTTCTTGAGTGCCTATCCGTTACGAATATTGGCGATTATCACGGCAATGTTTATCTTATCTGCAGCAGCGCGGAAAAGCTGCACAGATGTTGTATTGAACCAGATTCTGAGGTTCTTCAACCAAGATGTTCTTCTTCTTCCTGGATCTCGCTTTCCAAATATTTTTCCTTGCAGGATGGTTTGAAGGAGAGCATATCTGGATTTATTTCGCATAATATGCCCGAAGAATTGTAACTTTCGAGATTTAATGGTGGTCAGTATCTGTCGGTTCTTATTCATTCTTCTAAGGACCTCCTCATTTGTGACTCGGTCAGTCCACGGGATCTTAAGTATTCTCCGATATAGCCATATCTTAAATGGTTCCAGTTTTTTGCTCATATCTTGGTTCAAGGTCTACGATTCAACACCATATAAAAGCACAGAGAAGACGTAGCATCGCAGCATTCTTACTTTTGTATCAAGAGAGAGGTTGTGACTCTGGAAAAAGGCTCCCATTCGATTGAAGGTGGATCTAGCTTTTGCGATGCGTGCTCTAATCTCCTGGTTGTTGGTCCATTCTTCATTTATTATGGTGCCGAGGTAGTTGTAGTGCGTCACTCTTTTTACAGGAGATTGGTTGACGTAGAGTTGACCTTGTGTTATCCTTTTCTTGCTAATTATCATAAGCTTTGTCTTTTTAACGTTTATATTGAGTCCATATTGTTGACTGTAATACTTGATTTTGTTCATAAGAACTTGTAGGTCTTTTAAGTTGTCCGCAAATACTATGGTTTCATCTGCATCTTCTTCTTAAGGTTCCATCTTCTAACGAAGGTTGGATATCAACATGGCAATTCTTATTTTACTTACAGCAGCTCTAAATAGTTGGCTAGAGCTCAGACTAAACCATTCCCTTAGATTTCGTAGCCAGGAGGTTCGTCTTCTTCCTACATCTCTTTTACCTTTTATTTTGCCCTCTATAATCAAACGTAGTAGCCCATAACGAGGACCTCTTAATATATGACCAAAATATTCAAGTTTCCGCCTCTTAAAATTGTCTGTACAATTTTGTCTGTGCATATCTGATGTTATTAAGCCAGTAACCATTTAGTAGAATACCTTTTTCAGTTTTGTGCAAAGCTTCGATAAATATTCTTTTAGAATACACATTGAAGATTAAAGGAGACAAAATACAGCCTTGCCTTACGCCACGCATGAGTTTCACATAGTCAGTGTGTTCAACTTCAACTCTGAGATTTGCTGTCTGATTCCAGTAAAGATTTCTAATTATTTTCAGATCTTGGTTATTAATTCCTGCTTCTTTTAGTATATGCATCAAACGCGTTCTCTTAATCAACCAGACATGCGTAAACGTCGCAGTTGACGACTCCGCATTTCTGGAATAAGACTTGTACTGAGAACAAAGCTTCTCTAGTACCAACAGCATTTGTGAACCCGAACTGGGAGAAATTTGACTTTTACAGAGCTTGTAGATAAATTTCTCTTATAAATTATCTTTAGGAACAATTTTAGAGGATGACTCATGTGGCTTATAGTACGGTAATATTTATATTTTTTGGCACCTGGTTTTTTTGGAAGTTCAATAAACTCAGATTTCAGCCATTCTGTTGGTATTTCTCCAGAGTTGTATATGTTGTTGAATATCTTTGTAATTTAATGAGAACATTGAGTGTAAAAAAAATGTAAAACTCCTTAGAAAATTAAACTATTAGTCAGAAAATGGCACGTTTTGTTTTGTACAACCTGTCTGAAATTTGGATTGAGGTTAGTGTAATTGATTCTCAGTAGCAAGTCAAGATGTTTATCTGTCAACCGAGATGTTTATCTGTCAACCGAGATTTGTACCAATTTTTAATAAAGTTCGTTTTTAAAAAAGCGGCTTCGAATGCATAAGTTGAGCCAAACATAGTACACAGTTTCATTGCCAAATATTTTAGTTCTAGATATTTTTTGTAATACACATATTTAATCCAAAATGTGTCCCAGGCAACCGTTTTTGAAACTTATAGCAAACATAAACGAGCGTATAAACCTCCTTTAAAGTGGGATCTCTCTGATGCTCGATCATTTCCACCTGCAGGGCAGGTTTTTTACTCTTAAAAACGTCTGCTGCTTCGCTGATCGATACACCATTAGGTTTGAGTGAAAAACTGTCGCTTAATATTTGCACAACATTTTGTGTTGATAGTTTCCTTATTGTAGTTTGCTAAAAGATTATTTTTAGGCAGGTACTACCTGAAATTTTGGAAACCCGTTTAGTCGAAGCATCTTGTTTAGATTATGAGTATTTTTATAGTATTAGTACTGCGCATTTTCAAAATATAAAGATATTTATATATTTAAATTTGATTATAATTTTACACAATTTTAGTACTATATTTTGAATTTAACGGTCCGGATGCGGTCCGCTATTTGGTGACCCCTGTGATAGAGGACAGGCTGCCACATACGCTAGCTACTGACTTTCTTCTATGTCCAAGCCTTCACAAGAGGGCAGATTCCTACTTATCTTTTTCCTCATTTTCCAATCCTTACAACATTCTTATGTATTTCGATATCAATATGCACAGGCCAGCAGGGTAGTGAAATGGCTAATCTCGTAAATGATATGACATAATCTAAATAAAGGCCCTTAGTCTCCGGTGGCCTAACAGTCCCTCTTGATGTTAGCTACCAGATGAGACTAAAGAAGAGGGTAAAAAGAATCACCAGAACACAAACGGCTACCATGGACAATGAACATTGCATATTGCCTCTTAAAATGTAAGAACTCTTGCAACTCAAGAGAAGCTCAATGAATTGCAGAAAGCACTTAACTAAATAAAATGGGGAGTATTGTGACTTTTTGAAATACGAAGAAAAGAAGAAAACCAAATAGTTTGAAAATCAGGGTTAAATGCTATATTTTATTAAAGAAAAGGATAAGGCAGTCAGCGGCGTAGGCTTTCTGGTGCATAAGAAATACAGAGATAAAATTATAAAAATAGAGAGTGTAAGCTCAAGAGTGTACATCAATTTAAAACTTAATGAGAGACGCTCTATTAAAATTATTTAAGTATATGCATTCACATTGAGTCACAGCGATAAAGAAATCCAAAACTTTTATGAAGATATACATAAAGCTACGGAAAAAGATAAAATCCACCACTTAAACTTAATGGGCGATTTTAGTGCTAAACTTGAATTTAGAGAAGATAACTCAGAAGTAGATATATGCTTATTTGGATACGGTAAGTCAAACGATAGAGGAAGTGTGCTACTAAATTTTGTTTTGCATCATCGGCTCTATGCCATGAACATATTTTTCAAAAAGACCCAATAATGTAAGTAGAGGTGGACTAGTTTAAATGGTATAACGAAAATGTAATAAAGATATTACAACAATTAATAAAATCACTGTTAACAGTGACCATCGGGAGGTTACGAGCAAAAATATTGATTATTATTAGAAGAGAGAAAAGAGCAATAAAAACGGAAAAAGCAGTTTAATAAATGGAAATCGCTAGCAGATCGAGTAGCTTATCAGAATCTCACAACTTCAGTATTTAAAAGAGTAGAACATCTAAATGAAAATGAATTGGCGACATAAAGGTGACAAACTTGCGAATAAATACTGCGATTAAAAATGCTCATAGAAAATATGAGGTAAAAGGAAAAAACCAAGGAGAATAAATTCAACCAAGCTACTGAAGATCTTAAAAACAAAAGAAGAGAATTAAAAGACAAACACATAATTAACTTAGTAACACTTTACACAGTTAAATAAAATATTTTAAAATATCTTCGAAAAGATGTCAGAAATTACAACACTGAATACTTACAAGCAGAACAGAAACAAGTAATTATAATAAAAGTTTAAACGAGCTTAATTAAAAAATAACTTAAGAATCGAAAAGTATTTGCAAATTTGTAAATAAAAAGGGGAAAACTAAAACAAACAAGAAGGATATTTTAAAAATTACTCAAGATTTTTACTCAGAATTGTATAAACGAAATGAACCTCCAGATCCTAATCCAAGTCAAACACTAAAAGTCCAAAATGGAGGCTCAGAAGACATCTCAGATATCACAACAGAGGAAATCAAAAGAGTTCTCTCCGAGGTAAAAAACAATAAATCAGCTAAAGAAAATGGGATAGCCATAAAACAAGTCAAACTAGTAGGAAAAAGGTTCATAAATGTGTTGAAAAAAATGTTCAATGTTTGTTTCACAAACGCGTAACCCCCACCGAATGGCATAATGCAATAATAACCATAATGCACAGAAAGGTGACTTTTCGGACCTAAAGAAATAGAGAACTATAAGTTTGCTCTTCCATACATACAAACTATTCATGAAGACAATAACAAAATGGCTTGTGAACAAACTGAATAGTCCCCAACCTTGCGAAAAGGGTGTGTTCTGCTCCAGATACAGTGCAAATAATCATCTACAAGTTATTAAAACGCTAATAGAAAAGTGTACAGAATACAACAAGCCTATCTTTCTTATTCCACAAGGAAAAAATTAATGCAGCTGGCTGAATACCACGTATCACAAAAAAGAAGTTAATCTTTGTAACTTGGTATATTTAAAAAACCATAAAAATGCTACATTAAAAAACACAAACGTTTTCGAAATGACAATTTCCATCATCAGGTTTAAAAAACACTAGGTTTATATGCCTGAGCCACCAAAATATTTGGGTAAAAACCCTTTAAAATAAATTTAGTTATAAAATGTTGTACATCATATTGTTTTAAATATGTGACGTTTGATATTAGATTAGATATGCCTTCAGATAACATACACCCATGGTTTGAGTGAGTTCCAGTGTCCGGGGAGTAAACCTCTTCAGACGGACTACAGCTGGTAACTGAGTTACCAGCTACCAGCTGGTATGATACAAAGATTAACCTTATTTTTTTATCTTTCTTATATTCGTAGACTATGGAAAGGCGTTTGATACTATAAAAGATCATAAAATGCTTCGAGTATTTCTAACTGCCGCATCGACTATCGATATATTGTCTTAATTAATAGTATCTACGAAACTGGTACAGCTTGCGTCTGACTTCATGAAGATACCAAAAAGTTCCGAATATAATGTGAAATGAGACACAGTGATGTCCAATCTCTGGACGTAGAATTCCTCTCTTCTATAGCGAATTAGGTCAACCGCAAATCTTACTGGGAGCAATCGGACGATGCTAGAAATAACCGTTTATTCCGACAATATAACTACAGTTCAGACTTGAAAACATTATCTTTTGCAATCTTTATAATTTTTTTAAAAATGTCTCATCGCAAAGCAAAAATATAACATGCATATTAACTATGCTACTATAAAGACAAATGTTATTTACCTGAACACGCCGCAATGTAAAAAGAAATCTCAAGCCTTTTGAAGTCATTAATTTCACTTCCCAACATTGCTGCACCACAAGGATCGATGTAACTGACAGATGAGAAATCTACGATTACGCACTTTAGGTCTGTATTAATTTTGCTCTGAAGTTTTAATAATTTCTGCTTGTATTCCAGGCTATCTGAAGATTCCATCTACAAAATATGGTAATTGTTAAATTAAATGCTATAAAAATAAGGAGAAAAATAAATAACAGTGCACTAAAAATTTTATTTAATACATAGAATAAATAACTTTAAAGATACTTTTTTTCTTTTAGTTCCATGAACATTACCAATCGTTGGATATTATGTTGGTTATCTATATCATTATTTTATATTTTTTCGCAATGATTTTCTGGTTCTACCAAGACCACGTTAACTTTGGATCTTTTCTTGAATAATGAGATTCAATAGTTTATATTGTTAAGGGTGTCTCATAATGTGACCGAAATATTCCAGCTTGCATCTCTTTATTATATTGACCAGTTTTGTTCTTTGGTTCAGCCGTCTAAAGATCTCCTAATTTCTAACTCAGTTTATCTTAGTAGTCGTTTGTATACCCACATCTTAAATAGTAGCACTAGAGTGTCAATGCCAATACTAATATCGTGGCTGTAAAGTATGTTCTTTTATTCGTTTTTGTCTTTATTTCTGACTTTCTGACTTCTCTTTTTTAATTTATGTGTCTCAGTATTAGTTCCGTCTTCCACGTTTGTTGTTTTCTATTTTTCTTCACTAAATTTTATTTCCTGAACGGTCTTTAATATGTCTTTCATTTTTGACCAGTTTTCCTCAGTAGATACTTTCATATTTGTTTGACAACAACCTTACTGTTTCTTGTCGTACACTAGTTATTACCTTTTTTTTCGATACCATTTTCCATATTTTCTCTATTATAGTAACTGTTTGCTTATTCGCTCTTGTTAACTCTCAGTCCATTTTTCCCACCAAAATATTGTGATCTGTTGGTACAACTGCACTTGGATATGTTTTACTACTAGTACTTAATTTTTGTACATTTGTTTATACATGTGTAATCTTTTGGTGACAAAACACTCGTTCAGGTGTTTCTTTTGTTGATCGGGTGGTACAGAGTCCACTATGAACAATAAATAACTGCGTTCTAAATAAAAAAAGTGATCGAAGCAAAAACGAAAAAATACCATTTATGACAATCAAATAATTTATAAAATATCTATATAAGTTACCAATAGAAGAAAAATAAAAGGACAGAAAAAGACACATATTAAATTGACACAGATTCGTTTGTTTTTCGTCTGCTTCATTTTTTAGACAATTAATAGACAATTAAATCAATAAACAAAAAATATATTTATGAAGATATTCAGCAAATATAATTTAGAACATTTAATAACTAATAATTGATAACTAAGAAGTTTTTACAACATAAAATTATTACAAGATACAGTTACAATAGTAAGGCTACCGTAGAAGAAAGAGATAAATATAGTAAATGCAGAAAAAAAAAATTAAATTGAAAGATTTCATGTGAAACATTGCAGAAAAGACCGTTGATTTAATGTGTAGGAAATACATCAAACATTAAAGAAATAAGGGAATAAACTATTGTAAATAATATACTCAAAAAGAGTAAAAATACGTGTTTCAATTTCATTAAAAAAAACTAACACAGATATAATTGACAATCTTACCTTTTCTTGAACCTTTTTCAACTTTTCTCGATGAATTAATTCTTTTTGAACATTAAGATTAATTAATTTATATAAATCTTCCTTAAACATGCTTTTCGTGGCGAAGTTAATTCCTCCTGAGTAATGGAAGATTTTGATACCTTCCAGTTCCTTCGTCTGAAAAACAAAAACAGTGGTAATTTTATTATGCCATTAAGTAGAGAGTAAGTTGCCTAATAAAGATCTTTTATCATAGTATAAAAATTTAAAATAAATTTAATTTAAACTAAAATCGTGGTTAATTTGTTTCTAAAATCAGGAAATTGTATTATTAGGTATAGCATGAATGAGAAGCGAAGCTAAGCTACCAACTCATCACATAAGTTATCAAGATTTCTATTTATGGTAGGTATATATAAATTTTTAGAGATTTGAACAAACAGCCTTTATATTCAGAGAAACAGACGCGTTTTGATTAGCTCCATAATATCATCCGAAATTAGGACTGTTACGAGTAGGATTATAACCTGTAACTCGATCAAAATCTTTCTTATAATTGATGAGACAGGCAAACATACCCTTTTTTGATCTCTGCATTTCTGCAGGAGTAGGTATATACTGAATAGAGATTCAAATATTCCAAAAGTTTTTTTAAAGCCAAACTAAGAGTCGTTTAAATATTGTTCGCGTTTACATGTAATTTGACTACGTAGTATTCGTAAATAGAATAGAAATAAAAAAAACGCTAAATTAATCGATAATCAGCACAGTGTATCGGCTGTTGTGTTTAAGGCATAGTTATAAAGGTGGATTTTAACCAGTCTTATGGGATCTCACATTGTAAATAGATAAATACCCAACAAAAAATTTATCTTACTCCTTAAACACTTTAAAATATATGTAACTGTCACCATTTTTTTTTTAATTTTTACTAGTTATCGCTTAAAACCAATTCTACTATTTACGACTTTTAAAACATAATAAAACGTTTACTTACTCCTTTGTATCTGTTCATATCCAAATACAAGTCAGTGTTTGGTACACTACCCAAAAGGCATGTGTATGGCTTAAAACTAAAAATAAAAATAGAAAACAAAGACATGCAGACGCCAACTACTAGACCAATTTCCATACTGACAAATACTACTGTCACGAACGTCACTACCCATACGACGGCGTCTAGTTTACTTAATTTCCAAAACTTTATTAATTCAACGCATTGCATCATCATTCCTCTTAAAGAAATTACAATCACGCTACCTAAAACACTCTAAAATAAAAAAAATAATTAGAGCTTGAACAAATCATATTTTAATTATATATAATAAAAATTATTTAACTAAATACAATTTTAAAAGTAAATGTCGCCAAAGCAGTAGATTGGATTATTTAAAAATTATTATTATTGGATTGTTAGGAATTAGCGAAATGCTTTGGTCTGGAACTAGGCACAGTGCAGTGGGAGATTATCTGGTATAAAATAAGATTAAAAACTAGGGCGACTTTCGGTCTGATATGCTACTAACTTCACAAGTCTACTAAGCTCTCTGTTGTCACTTTTAGCTCCCCATTTAGTCCTATCCTCTTAATGAAATTTCACAGCCTTGAAAGTATTTTTCACAAGTCAGCAGTGTCACTATCACCATATTAATCTTTCTATTGTGGGAAAATAAGTCGGCCCTGAATTTGGCTGAATGTTTCTTAATAAACTCTTTAGCCTGTTTTTGTCTTATCCAGGGACTTATCTTGCAACAATTTATCAATAACTGTTATTTTTTAGCCTTATTTTGTCATCTGGTATACGACGCAGGTAATAACGATGCAAACCATTGAAATGAATCATTGTACATAAACGGTTACAGATTGCATCATTGACGGCATAAGCCGTCGTACAGTATACAGAGTGGCCCAAAAGTCTGGAAACGGCCAATTATCTCGTTAATTGCTAGTTATAATTGTACAAAGTTTAAGGTACACCTATTTTGGGATACGGAGATTCCATATTTGATATTTGCAATGTTGCCAGATTTGCCGTTTTTCTTATATTATTAGTAACTTTGGTTTTTTAAATAATTCACCCTGTATATTCAGTCATTACTGGAATCTCCCTTTCAATACGAGTTCAGCCATATGTAACACTTATGATTATATGTAGTCTGGAAGGTCTTAAATACATAAAACAGAAGTCTCAAAACGCCTAATTGTCTCAATAAATTTTTTAATACTAACTATTTTCAACTACATTAAAACGTAACATTTGATAGATTACAACATTTTTAACACTATGGTTACTTTAACAAGTGTTCAAAATGTGCTCCATTTGTGAGTTGACAGTACCCTAATCGATGGTAGAATGTGTCTACCACATTTTTCCATGTTTGTCTAGAATTTATTCGATATTTATCGATTTTTCGTTGCCTTAGTTCTGTAGTTCTGCAAGACTTGCTGGTTTAGTTTTGTAAACTGAATTTTTCAAGTATCCCCAATAAACATAATCTTTAGGATTGAATCAGGTGAACGTGGAGACCATTCAATTCTACCTTGTCTACCGATCCATCGTCCTGAAAATATCTCTTCTAAATAACCCCGAGCATTTACCCCGAAATAAGCTGGAACTCCACCTTGTCCATATCTAATTAAAATTGGCACCAAACAAGTTTACTTTACTTTACTTTAGAATAAATATACTGGGCGGAATAACTGTAAATAACCGGATCCTTATACGAAAAATAAAGTAAGTCTCTTTTCTTGTTCAGTAGTAGATGCTGAATTTTTTTGTACTTCCATTTAAACCTGTGTTGTTTGCTGTATTTGCCTGCATTTGTAAAGCTTTAGAGTTATTTTGCCAATTTAAAATAAATGCACTTCTTCTTCTTCTTCAAGTGCCATCTCCGAGGCGGAGGTCGGCAATCATCATAGCTATTCAAACTTTTGAGACGGCTGCTCTGACAAATTCATTTGATGTACATCCATACCACTCTCTCAGGTTGCGCAGCCACGACATTCTACGCCTTCCTATACTTCTCTTTCCTTGGATCTTTCACTGCATAATCAGTTGGATCAAGGTGTATTTCTCCCTACGTGTAATATGCCCGAAATATTCTAATTTTCTTGTTTTAATTGTATTCAAAATATCGATTTCTTTATTTATCCTTCTCAGAACCTTTCTTTGTGACGTGTTCTGTCCACGAAAGTTTCAGAATTCTTTAGAATAAATGCACTAAATTAATCTAATAAAAAAAAATTAGTACATATTTTAATATGACAATGGGAAAATTTTAGGTTCAATAACGAAGTCATTATAAATTACATATTATAATGTATGCGACTGGAAAATTTTACAGTAAATAACATTTTCAATGGCGCCGTTAAATTAAAAACCAAGATAATTTAGTTATAACTAAAATACTAAGATACATAATAATTATTTTTTTAATGGTAGAATAGAACTACTTACCCTAGGTAATGGTTCAAAAAATGGTCCAATCCACAATAGGGTAATAATTAGCAACAAAGATGATACTACTGTCACTATTTGAGTCTTTCCACCCACTAGTTGTTGAATCAGTGATCTGGATAAGGAAGCACAAACTGGCATGCACGCAAAAAGGGAGCCAACACCATTACTTAGACCCTAAATGATAAACAAATTAAATTAAAATAAAAAAGAAACAAAATTATTATTTATAGGTTTACTAGTTTTTTCACAGCTCTACTGGTAAAATATTGCATACTTTTCAATAACCATTTTCAAGTTTTTCATTTTTTCAATAACCATTTTCAGGTGTTTCAAGTATTTAGGTTGTAAAATATATAGGTATATTTTTATATACAGTATTGTGCGAATTAATGGAATCATAGGCTGTTTTAATAAAAAAAAAAACAGTTTATTTACATCATTCAGTAGGAAATATGTCCCGCTTTGGCAGCAATTACTGCTTTTACCCATTTTGACATAGATTCTATGAGTTTCTGGCAGTTATCAGATATCCTTTCATCTCGATACCAAACCTGAATGTCCGCTTCTATCATTTTTGTTTTAGTGGTACAGTCGGTTTTTCGCAGTCTAGCTTTGCAAATGGCCCATAAATTTTTAATGGGGTTGAGGTCGGGCGAATTACCGGGCCAATCTAAAACATTATTCTTCTTATTTTTGAAAAATTCCATCATTTCCTTTGATTTGTGACAGGGAGCAGAGTCCTTGTCACAAGTTGAAGAATCGTCACAAGAGCACAGTTGAAGAATCGCTCCTCCTTGGGATTGACATTTTTGGAGTTGTTTGTCCAAATACTTTTCCAACATGGATTTGTATTTTTGGCTGTTCATCATGCCTTCAATTGGCACCAAAGATCCAACCCCCATGTATGAAAAACATCCCCAAAACATTTTCTTGAGTGGATGTTTTACGGTTTGATCAATATGAGATGGGGTAAGCTTTTCATTGTCAGACTTCCTGATGAATTTCGACCACTGTCCCTGAACTATAAAGTGGGTTTCATCTGTAAATAGGACTTTTTTCCAGTCGCCTACAGTCCAATTAGAGTATTTTTTGGCCAACAGTAGCCTTTGTTTCTTCATTCGTTCAGTTAGAAGCTGTTTTTTCTGTGGACGAATTGCCCTTCTATCATTCTCCAAAAGTCTTCTACGAACAGTTGAGTCATGAATCACTATAGATGATGCTGCTAGATCTTGTTGTAGGTCTTGGCTTGATTTTCTTGGCTCCAATTTGCTCTTTCGAAGTAAAAACCTATCATCTGCTGGTGTTGTTTTTCTCTTTCTTCCACATTTTCCTAACCTTTTCACATCCACTGATCCCGTTTCTCGTTTACGCTTCAAAATTTTGCTTACTACCCCCTGACTCACTCCACACGTTCTAGCAATCTCTCTTTGTGACATACTAGTGTGTTCACTCAACGTGACAATTTTTTCACGCTTCCTAGGCGTAATATCCATGTTGAAATAAAACCAAAAACAACACAAAATAGTACAAAACCCCCAAAACAACACAAGCTTGGTAAGAAATTACCTAAAACACACTCAAACACACCAACACACAGTAAGGTTATGTCTTCAATGCTTGGTCAGCTGTCAACTGTAGGTAATATTGCCAATTGTGAATATTGAAAAAATGAAAAAAAAAATTCACAGTGATTCCATTAATTCGCGCAATACTGTAATACAAATATTTTAATTTGATTGCGCAGCGTATTGATTGGAGAATATTTTTAATACTATGATTTCTGGTTTATATGATATTATTTTATAAATATTATATATCTATTATAAACTTAGAACCAGCATTAACCAGTTTCTTCAAAAGCAATGTAGATAATATGAAGTATGTCTCGCTCTATATGACTAAATTTACAATATGCTGTTGAAGTATCGCTACTATATAGAAGTAAATGATGTAATGGTGGATGTAACGGAAGGATCGTCCAAGGAGGAACTCTTGCTTCGGATTAAGCGTGCGTGTGTCCTCGTTAAGGATTAGATGAGAGCGACCATTGTAATAGTAATTATAGGCTACAGAAAGAAAGACAGTGTTATATTTGAGCTCGCTGGAGCGAGAGTAACGTCCACGAAGAAAATCGACTATTTGGGAGTCAGCCTCCACCAGCGTGGGAGTTGAGGAGAACATTTGAGGAGGTGACTCTTAGAGAATGGTTCCGCTAAGGAGAATAATGCCCAATATCGGTGGACGCAAATTCTAAACGAGAAGGGAAAACGGATTGTTTTGCAGTCTATAGTTCTCTACGTGGTCCCAGTCTGGAGTGAGGTGGTAGAAATACTACCTTACAAGAGGCTTATTGCAAGCGTCAAGAGAATTATGTTTATATAATAAGTATCCGTTCGATTGTTATTATTTTTTGTAACCTTTTTAAACCTAAACCTAAATTTACCAATACCATGAATATGATCTGATGATACGTCAACACCGGGATAACTTTTAACCGATAGGCATCCGTTACGGAATCTCTTGTTAATCATTATGTAATCAATTTAATTCCTTATTATGTTTCCTAGTTGATCTTGCGGAGAGACTCAAGTATACAAACGTCTTGGTGGTAGTTTGAAGAACGTATTTAGTATTGCAAAGTCACTAATCCAAAACCTTTAAATCTTTTTATGGCACATACAGCTGGATTATTATCTGATGAAAATTCTCGCATTCCAGGTTGTTTCCTTAGCTACTTTTAAAGGTTTAAGAGGACGCAGTCCAAATAGTGCTCTTTTAGATACTGTAATACATACAATGTTGAAGTGTAAGCGTTGAACAAATGAAAGAAAGAAGTTTAAAAAACAGTGTAACTACAGAATATTTGATTTTGTGAGAAAAAGGATAGAAAAAATGTTAAAGGATGAGTGGTGTTGGACACGGATCCACAAATTTATCAAGGAGTTGCTGTCTTCAAAATAACGAGAGGAGACGGAGCTCGTACTAGAATTCTGAAACGGACAAGTAACATATCAGTGAAGTTCCGACTGTCACTGGTCAAAATAGAAGAGAATGAGAGAGAGAGACTCGTTAGCTTGTGTTTTTCCGATAAATATGTGAGAGGAAGAATGGTAATAGCAATGCAGCAGAAAAGATGTTTTGCTTTAGCAGCCCTTTCACCCTGATGCCTGGATTGACAGAGAAGAGGTTTTTATTTGGACGCCAACCATATTGGAGTAATATTGGGACAAAGTGTCAAAGGTCTAATCTCCTCGGGACTCTCGTCCTGGCACAACTTCGCTAGGGTATTAGGAACCCAACACTACCTGATTGAGTCACAGGTGTCTGTACGCAGAATTTGCTTCTTTTGTTTAAAGATATTAAAATATATATACAGAGGTGGTCGTCATTGGTTTTAAAAGAACTACTGTAATAATTACATATCTTTTAGATACTTACAGCAGCAGGTAAAGAGAAGACCTTATATATAAACCCAAATTGTACTCTTTATTAAAACTTGCAATCTAATAAACAACCCCGTAACCAACAATAATTCTAAAGTGCAATGCAGTCTAAATGAACATTAGTCCTATAAAAAGTATCCAGCTTGTCTTTAGTTTTCTTTGCCGTTTTATTTTTTCAATAATACTGTTTAAGATGACATCAAAAAATTTTTTTGCAAACACGTCAAATTTATGCAGCTGTCAAAATATATTAAAGACTGCATTGCGCTAAGATTTAACATGTATGCCTATATAAGGATACATTTTTTAGAATTAATATTGTTTTTTGAGATAGCAGCGCCCTTAACAACGAAGGAGCACCACCAGATAAAGTTTTCTGGAAAATATGTAATGCACCGTTTATATACAGGTTTATATGTACACACATGTTCTATTTTATTTATTTTTTAACATTTTTATATCTTTATAGTGATATCTGAGAAAACTGCAAAGTATCCAAATAAAAGTAGTAGTATAAAACCACATAAGGTTCAGATCAGGCATATGTGTCTTTTTATTTCATGAGTTTGACAGTCTAGATATCTTGATTTTTTGACTATAAATATGACTATAAATTAGTGCTCTGGATGTGTAAGCGCGCTTTGTGTACATTATATATAATTATTTGTCTGGCAATAGAGCTGAAGTTTTTTGCCAGAGCTGGTTGTTTTTAAAAATTCTTTACAAATGAAAGCGTTAGGTTAACAGATTTTAAACAAATACATACCTGTGCGAATAATTCTTGGTTTGCGTTAACTTCATAATTTCCTTTTTGAGCTATCATTAATGCCAATGACATCGAAGTCACATAATTTACTATAGCAATAATAAATCCGTCAATAGCAACTGATGGCAATAAGGATATTGGAGGAATTTCTGGTTCTGGCAAGCTAAAATTAAAAAATGATTAACTTTTACATTTAAGTAACTTACAAATTATATTGGCATGAAATTGGTTTATATATTCATCAAAACAAATGTCACAGTATTGGAAGAGTCATTTACGTCACAAGGGAAATCGTTATACATCATTTTACCTCAATTTTATTGAAATCTATAAAATTTATAAATAAATTAAAGTACTTTACTCAATTTTAAAAATATTATTTAAATTTCAAAAATACAGAAAACAGTATAATTTTCACATTAGTCTATAGATGGGAAGATCGGGCTTACAATTTTTACATTTTCTTTCTTTTGTGCATTCTTTATATAATATAGGCATTAAAACATACCGTGAAAACAATACCTAATTTACCTTTGTAAAAATATAACCAGCAAAAATTTAAACAATGTCGGAAAAATTACTGAGTGCTACTACAAACCCAAAAATGGTCGGTCAGAGCCTTAAACCACACCAACCAAAGTTCGTTAAGATGTAGTGAGGTATGCACCGCACTGGCTACGTCGAGTTAAAGTTGCTGCCATCTCTTTAAATTGATTAAAATTAAATGTACTCTCATCGCCTGCTAACTTGGCGGTGCGCACATACCCAAAATTGCTTAGTGGCTTAGGTGGTGGTCTTTAGTCCCCTCCCAGTTATCAGGTGCGTAACACTTAAGTGATTTCCGGCTATTATTTTTAAGACTTCTTAATATTTCGGATATTTAAGCGTATTTGTGACAATTTATAACGAGGCGTTGAAAAATAGTAGAAAGAATAATTCTGTTATTAGTGGACAATCTCGGGAGATTATATTTAATGTGTTTAATTATTTCAAAAATATTAAACTCGAAGCAGAGACCCTAAAAACTGCGAAAGAAAAAACAGCTAAAGCAACAGGTAAGTTTGTACTTACAATAAATTAATTTTAATTAGTCGACTTCTAAATAATAACAAAACCGCACTACGGTGGTCTATTTGGACCAAAAATAACTCTATATTTTTATTTCATTTTAATTATATATTATTTTTAAAACACAATAGTTCTATTTCTATTTATAAGGCATTTTCTGACACCTATCTACAGAATTGAGATGTTATAATAAATTACAATAAAATAATCTCTCCGAATGCTCTCTGTGTCTGTTCTCTGCTTCGACGGCAAAGATTTTAAAACTTTTTTCTACGTTTGACATTTTTCAAATATAGACATTCAAATATAGACACAAGACATAAGCGACATTCGCAGAATAATTTACGATTTTTATAAAACAGAAAAATGTCGGGTTACGGTAAAAAAATTAAAACAAAAAATTCACAACGATTTGGATATCACAATTTCACAAACATCTTTAAGGCGACTTCTACGCAAAATGCAATTTCGTTGGAGGAAAACCGAAAACGACCGAAAAGTGCTTGTAGAAAAAAGTGCAATAAGAGCTTTGAGAATAAAATATCTCAGGCAAATCAAATATTTTCGGAGTCAAAATAGGCCAATCCTGTATGTTGACGAGACCTACTTACACAGCGGTCATACTTCTTCAAAGAACTGGACTGACGAATCAACCAGGGGGTTATTTTCAAATATTTCCAAAGGTCAACGACTAATAATAGTGCATGCCTGTGGGGATATGGGATTCATACAAAATGGCTTATTAATCTTTAAATCGGGTTCAATATCAGGGGATTACCACTCTGAAATGAATTCAGACAACTATGGAAAGTGGTTACAAGAACATTTATTACCTAATTTACCTGCTAACTCGGTATTAGTTTTTGATAACGCACCTTATCACAGCATTCAGTTGGAGCGGGCGCCTACATCAAACTCAAACAAAAATCAAATGATAGAATGGTTATTGCAGAAAAATATTTCAGTTACACCTAATGCTTTAAAACCTGAACTGTATGAAATAATTAAATATCATAAACCTCATCATGTAAAATACAAATTCGACGAAATTCTACGTGCGCATGGCCATATTCCTTTACGTTTACCTCCTTACCATCCTGATCTAAACCCTATTGAACTAATATGGGTTACAGTCAAAAATAATATAAGGCAGAAAAACGTTACATTTAAGCTAGCTGACGTACAAAAACTCGCCGAGGAAGAATTCACTAATATTGATGCAAATGAATAGAGAAAACGATGTTACCATGTCATTAAGAAGGAAGATGAGTATATGGATAGCGAGATAGTTGCTTGCGATAATTATTATAAGTCTTGACAGTGACTCTTCCAGTACAGAGTTTTCTTCTTCCGAAGATGAAGATGAAGAAAATTATTAACAATCAATTTATTTTCAAATAGATACCACTTTTCAACACGGGTACTTGTTTTAGTGTTATAATAAAACCAAAATATTAAAATTAAATAATTACTGTGTTGCATTTATTTATACAATATCCTCCATTTAATTTGAAACACAATATCAACGTAGATTTGTGAATTAAATTCAGTGATTATTGCATAATTTGTTTACTAAGTTACTAAACTACTAATAAATATTATAAATTAATGGTTTACTATTTAAATTGAATAAAACAAAATTACAATTTCATCTTTCTAATAATATATTAAAGCTTGGGAAAAATATTACTTTTTTAATTGTGTAATAATTATTTGACCTATACCGCTACGCTACTGAATATACTTATCAGAAATAGTAAGCCAATAGCATGAATCATAGGGCGTAAACATAATTTATTTCTCTGTGACGTTGTGCGTACTTTCTCGACAAGTTAGCTGGCGATGATTGAAGAGGGCTAAAGAACGCCTATAGATTATTTTGTTTAGGTAATTCTTCTTGATACATCTGAATACTTTCAGCAAATATGATAAAGCAAAATATTTTGAATAAATAAAAGAATTTCAAAAAGATAGCATTCATAATTACAAATTATTATTAATTTTTATTATTTTATTGAAGAAATTCTTAATTCTTACCCGCTAGGTATTGTTCCTACAACAGCAATATCGTATTTTTGTTGAAGATTAAGTAAACTTGAAACCAAGGCTCCTATCACAACCACTATCAACTCGATAGGTATCGGGATTTTTGATCTTTTTGCTACAATTGGCTGAAAATGATAAATGAGAGCATATTATCAAACCTAATTTTGTGTATAACATATTTTTATATTTAGCATTTTAAACTAAGAAATATTTTTATCCAAGCTTAACCACTCTACCTAATATATAATAATATGCTGGGCAGTCGTAATGGCGTAGCAACTAAAAGAGATTCTGGTAGATTCTATCTTTGTTTTAGATAATTTGCTGGATTTGCTTATATTTTTAAATTCATTTGTCGGTGTTGGTTATTTTGTCTTTCTACTACCTTCCTAACCGTGTATTTTGTTATAAGTTGATTACCGCCAAATTCTAAATTTTGATAACCGTCCAGAATTTACAAGATAAAAGCTGCTTTAGACATACAATCAATCTTCTTAGTAATTAGCAGATATACTAACGTTATATATGTCTTAATTTGTTTTCTTCTTCATCTTTTTCCATTTTATAAACAATTCTGCTTGTTTATTTGCGGATTATTACCTCTAAGGAAGCTTGTAACTCCATTTTTTGCGCTGTCGTCCAATACTTCTTCTCCTGATTGGTGATTTACCGTTGGCCATTTTGACCACACTACAATTGTATGGGTCTCTCCCATCCTTCTTCATTCTTTTTTTCTATTTAGTGCCCATTTGTTTATACACTGTACGTTACATTTTCTTCTAATGACTTTACTTCTATGTGGATCTCTCAGCGTATTTCCTGTACTTTTTCTTAGTACTTTCATTACTCATTTCCTGTAGCGGGTCTTATTTTTAAGGCATATCTCATTATTTTTGTTACACTGGCTTGACTTAATCTCAGTATCTGTTTCGCCATATAGTGTTATTAAGGCATCCTGCCAGTCTATTTGCTTTTTGTACTTGATCTATCACTTCACTATCCAGGTCTCCATAGCTGGACAGTGTACTTGTTCAATACGGATGCAATAAATTTCTTTAGTTCTTTGCTGAGATGAGATTGTCATATTAAATTCTTCTGTGTATCTGAAAGTGACGTGTATCTGACATATTTCAGTATATCTATTGCATTTCTAAATTCTAGTTATAAATGGTCGATAGTTTAAAACATTGCAAGTTCTAAAAAATATATACTCAATGCTTAAGAAGTTTAAGAACTATCGGGAAATATTCACAAGTTCAATTAAATCCAGTAAAACTAAGACTAAAATTATTTTATCAAAATCAAATATTAGTTTGGAGCTCAAAACCCAAATGATCAGATGTTACTTTTCGTCTTGCTTTATGTCTGTAAAAGTTGAACAATAGACTCTGAACTAAATGATGTCTTTAAGAGTATATATACACACAGGTGCTGAGAATTTTATGGATACAAAAACTTACAAACGATGAGGTACATCGGCCCAGAAGTAAACAAAAATACACACTTGGTATTGTATTAAGATATGAAAAATACTAATTAATCCGAATCATATAAGAAGGTAAAGAACATTGCAAAATATTGGTAGGAGGACGCCAGAACTTATGGCTCTCCAACTAAAAAGATGGTTTGGTCGCTCAACCCAAGGAATCATTCGTGTAGCAATTTCTTAAGCTAAATTTATCATCTCGATCGCCAACGGTCGAACGGAGATGACGCAATAAGAAGAAAAAGAAGAATGTTCACAATTATAGTTGCACAAGCTATGAACATTGAATTAATTATGGTTACTTTCATTCACATTAACTAACTAATATGATTCAAACTATTTTGTGCGTTTTAAAAACGATGAACTAGGCTAATAAAAGAAATCCTATCAAGAATCGAACAAGCAGGGAAAACATTCATGAGCATGAAAACATTTTTACTAGATCAGATCTTAGTCTGCAGCTTAGAATCCGAATGCTCAGATGTTACATTTTTTCTGTCGTACTGTATGGCTGTGGAAGTTGGACAATGGACTTTGAAATAGAAAAAAGAATAGATGCCTTTGAGATGTATATATGCAGACGAATGTTGAGAATTCCATGGGTACAAAGAGTTAGTAATATTAAGTTACTTCGTCGCATATGTAAACAAAAAGAATTACTTAGAGTAATCAAAGAGAGGAAAAGACAATACTTAGGTCATGTGTTGAGAGGCGATAGATATATTTTTTTACTAACTTTATTGAGTACAACAATCTGCCCATTGGGCATTTGGTATGGTAAAAAGAATGCAGACATGTAGAGAGTTACTCCAGTGAGTAACCTCTTTACAATTCTAAAAATCTAAAATTTTATTAGTTTGAATACACTTATTATGTTCAGTCGGATAAGTCGGACGGCAATTGCCATTTCAGTCTACGCTCTTCAAAGACGTGCGCACATTTAGTTGTCGTTCAAACGCATTAGGATGCACTAGCACTCGTTTACAGTATTTAGTACTAAAACGTTGTATGGCTTCTTTCAAGAATTCTAGGGGATGTCGTGTTGAATCACCTCGTTGGATACATAGTATGGCGCATTGACTATGGCACGCAGCACCTTGTTTTGGAATCTCTGTAAGATGTTTGTATTGAAGACGCTAGCAGTGCCCCATACTTAATTCCATAAGTCCATATAGGCTTGAGGATGGACTTGTAGAGTAATATTTTGTTATCCAAAGATAGTTTTAAATTGCGTCTAATGATCCAATACATGTTTCTCAATTTAAGTCCAAGCTGTTTTCGTTTGTTAAAGATATGTTTCTTCCAAGTTAAACGGCGATTCAAGTGCATGCCAAGACATTTAGCGTCTTCGGATTGAGGAATTAGACAATTATCAATATATACAGGGGGGCATGCTTCTCTACGTAGCGTGAATGTAACATGTATTGACTTAGTTCCATTAGATTTGATGCGCCATACTTTCATCCATTGCTGAGTTCTATTTAGGTTTGATTGAACATTTCTTGATGCTGTTGATGGATATTTGTGAGATGCCAGGATAGCAGTGTCATCTGCATACATTGGAACAGTAGTTGTACTAGATGTTGAAATGTCCGCTGTGTATAAAAGATATAGAATTGGGCCGAGAACGCTACCTTGTGCGATGCTTAAGTGAATAGAATATATCTTAGTGTGCTCGGTACCGTGCTTCACCAGAAAGTGTCTATTTTCTATGTAGGATTTTAAGAGCTAAAAGTGGGAATAGGGTAGGAGCTTCTTTAATTTTATTTGTAGTCCTATGTGCCATATCTTGTGAAAAGTCTGAGATATGTCAAGGAGAGCAACAGAACAGTATCTTTTGGCGTTAAAATCCTTGTTTATTTGGTTGAATAGCCTATGCACTTATTCTATGGTTCCGTGTTTGTCTCGGAAACCGAATTGATGTTGGCGAAAGATATGAATTACTTTAAGTTATACTGGAAGGAAAAGTACAGGGCAAAGGATCAGTAGGAAGACGCCAGAACTCGTGGCTGAAAGATGGTTCGACCGCTCATCCACAGAAATCATTCGCGCAGCAGTTTCCAAAACTACAACTGCCAAGAAGAGCCTTATTTATAAGTAATGCAAAAAAAGCGCTCAAAAATCTAGAATTAATTATAGTGCAAATACATTTGTAATATATATTTTTTATACCATCATTTAAAATCTTACCTTTAAGAATATATTATTAAGTACTAATACTGCGATAGACACGGCAGAAATAATCATTTCTGGGACACTAGCTTCTCCTATCCTTGCAAACAATAATTGCAGAGTCTGAAATAAACGCACAAATTAATAAACACTTTAATCAAACGACGTTATTTTAAAAGATATAGAAAGCTTTCCAAAATCACTCAAAAAAGTCAAAAAATAAGTTTTATTACTGTTTATAGAAAAAATTTATGAATATTTTTTAACAGTTTTATTATGTGCTGTTAGTAACATATATTAAATATATTAAATTTACCTTAGTAGTTAAAAAATTTCCTTTTACTTTTGGTATATTAATGCCAAATAAATCTTTTAACTGCGTAACTACTATCTGAAATGCTGCTCCGCATGTAAAGGCATTTACCAACATATCGGAAAGAAGAGCCGTAACAGCTCCTAGTCGTAGAAAACACATTATAAGCTGAAAATAAATAGAAACATAAATATTTGCATAATACGGTATCCTATAATAATCACAATTTAAGAGAAGAAATAATTTATCATTATGTTATATCCAAGTTTTTTTATAAGACGAAAATATCCGGCTGTATTTTTTCTCGTAACAAAAGCATTTGATATGGCTTGGAGTTACAATATTTTAAACACATTAAGTCACTGGGGAGTCAACGATAAAATGGACATCCTTCCGGTAGGGATCTATGGAGGAGTATCACCGAGACGCAAGCCCTTATCTCTTATCTTACAGCTCCACCATAGGCCGATTAGACACTACCATATTCTAGTCTAAACTGCAGATTCATTTAGAATTTTAAACTGCTGTGTTAGCCTTTTTGTTTTCTGTACATCGAGCTGGGGATCGAACTCACTTCTTCTGAACCACTCGCAGTGAAGCGAATTCTCCTATTCTCCTTTTTAACTCTGTTGTTTTTTTATTGTATGATTACTAAAATATAATTTTTGTTGCTTCACTTTATTTAAAACAGGACATGAAATACGAATCTAATAAAATATTTTGAAATAATTAAAAAGGTATATATTTTTTAATTTAGTGAATATTGAAAAAATCGAAAATTCTTTTTTCATATTTTTGTCGATATAATTTCCGTACTGAACATAAAATTATATTTCTGAATTTATTAATTTATATTGATATATCTATTAATAGAAAAGGTAATGTGTCGTATTTCAAAAATCTTTTTTGGTTTTTGCATAACTAATCGATTTCAATAATGTTGCGTTTACGGGACATTGGGATTTTATGTAATAGGCGCCGCTAAGTTGACAAACTAACAAATTTAGAAAATAAAATTTAGATTTTGCATTTTTGTTTGTACAATAATTCTAATTTGATTGAATAAATAAAAAGAACATGCATATTTTGGAAGACATAGTTATACGGTGTACATAAAGGGAAAACCATTTAGGTTTCGGTTGAAACTATGGTGTCTATGTAGTCCAAATGGCGATTTATTTAAATTTTTACCTTATAGTGGAAAAACAAGTGCTTATGAAAACGAATTGGGTCTAGGATAAAACATTTTGCTGGATTTGTTGTCAGTGATTGAACGGAAATCTAATCATTGCATATTTTTCTCATCTTACAAGCTATTCGGTTTGCTAAAAGGAAAAGGATTTTAGGCTACTGGGACGATCCGCGAAAACCGTACTTGTAATAGTACAATGGAAAGTGTAAAAAATATTCAAAAACAAGATCATGGTACTTACGATTTTTTTTACGATTCTAAACAGTGTATTGATAGTTAGATGGATTGAAAATTCTTTAGTGACAGTTGCAACAAATATTTGTACCATTGAACTTTTCGCAGATACATAAAGATATACCAGGAAAGAAAAGAACATTTAACGAATTCCTTAGCCAAAATTGATAGGTGAATATAAGCAACGTATGGGTGGTGTTGATTTGCATGATAACGGCATATCAAATTACAGAATAAAGGTAAAAGGAAAAAAATGGTGGTGGCCGCTTTTTATAATTTTTAATGTGATTGATAGTGTTATTGTTCATGCGTGGAAAATATATAACGTGGCAAATAAAACCAAAATGTCACAATTAGATTTTAAGTCTTATATAGCAGTTACCCTTATGAAAATGGAAGTACCGCTCATCGAAGATAACGTTCAAGGACACGGTATATCGGCTTCAAATGATCCAATCAACAATCCTACCTAAGTTTTGTACTATACATTGTGTGTGTGCTAATTTTTGTTCTGGCAAATCCACCGTTGCTTATACGCAACATTTTGTTATTAAAAAACAAATTAGATAGATAAAATTATTTTAGCAATAAAATGCAATAAAAAAAAACAAAATTTGTTTTTTTTTCTACTCTTGGGAACTAATGGGTTTCTGCAAGATTACAATTTGCTACAACCAAGTTAAGTGTACATTCTTCTCAAAATATGGGTACTCTTCAAATCCAGATCTGTGAATAGATGGAAACAGTTTAGATTATGTAGACCATATAAAATTTTTAGACATTATTTATTATCTAATATACAAATTAAACGATCAAATGAAGTCTCACAGAAATCGATCAATTACAAGAAAAAAGATATCACGTAGATCGAACAAATATTCGTTAACATATTTTCAATGTTTGTTGTGTTAACTTCAATAGTCAGTAATATCTCTAAGTACTTGGACTTCATTTCCTGTTACAGTATTTGTTCATTTATAAGTATTCTAGCTGATAGGTATGTTTGATATGTTTGTTTTAAAATAATGTAATTTAAATTTCTTTAATGTGATACAATAACCTTTCAAAAACATTTTATTATCGATTCCAATAATCGATAAAGTGGCCTATATTATAAAACAAAAGTATTATTTTAGCATTTTAAAACTATTAAAATGTAGTTCTGTTCGTTATTTATGTTTTATATTTATATTACAGAAAGAAGCAGGAACAATTAAGAGTAGGTCGGTCGTGTGAAGAGCAAAGGTCACAGGACGATACAATAAACTGAAGATCTGAGATCGGCCAAGGATTTAAGAAAACCGCTGTCTCATTCTGAAATTATTCTCTTCTTCTTCTTTGCGTGCCATATCAGAATTATCCGACGTTGGCGATCACCATTGCGAAGGCTTCTCGATCTTCTGCTATATGGAATAATTATCCTGCATTTGGTATCTGAGTCCATTCACGAATGTTTTTAACCAAGAAACTTGTTTTCTTCCTACACCTCTACGGCCCTCTATTTTGCCTTTAAGGATCAGTTGTAATATTTTATTTCGACTTCCCCTTACTATATGTCCTAGATAAGACATTTTTCGATGTTTAACATTCTTTAGCAGTTCTCTATCTTTCTTGGCGTTCCTTAGTACTTCTTCATTAGTTTTCCTTGCTGTTCTAGGTATTTTCAGTATTCGTCTATGAACCCACATTTTCAATGCTTCAATTTTGTTCAAGATCGATACTTTTAGCGTCCACACTTCGGCACTATACAAAAGTAGAGACCAAACATAGCACTTAACCATTCTTTGCCTTAGTTTTAAATTGAAATAATTATTGCAAAGAAATGACTTCATTTTCAATATGTCATTTTGTGAACTTTCTCAACTTGGACTTCGTTTCATTAAATCTTTGCATCGGGATGTGGATCACGACTAAAAACTAAAAATTTGGTTTTATTTGAGTTTATTTAAATGCCCATTTCCTCCCCTACCTCGTGAATACGATCAAGCAGAATTTGAAAACCTTCAATATTATCTGATAGAATTACTGTATCGTCTGCATATCTAATCACATTAAGTAGTTCCCCGTTGAATTTTATTCCATAGGGTTGTCTCTCAAGTGTCTCTTTTAAATAACTGGTCCAAGTAAACATTGAACAATGTTGGCTACAAAATGCAACCTTGTCTGACTCTTCGTTGTATAGAGATTTCATCGGTGTAGATATCTCCAATTTTTATGATAGCAGTTTGATTTCAGTAAAAATTTTTAATCACACGAATATCCATGTCATCTTCGCTTCGTTCCTTCTGAAATTATATGTATTCAATCTAATTGTGGGTCAGTGTATATTGCCATTAGAACAAAACTTAGTAAATACATTTGATTTAATACAAGAGTAAATTGTTGATTTGGTCACTGTGAAAAGCAGTTGCACAACACATCACACAATACTAGTTGCAGTACACAATACAGTAGTGAAAGATTAGAGAAGATCGGGGATATAAGAGCCAGTGGGTAATGAGATCCACCTTATTATTACGGATTGAAAAGCTTTAATAAAACTGCTGAACGCACTCTACACTTGACCTTAAGTTGTGATGAATTATAGGTATTGCATTTATTTAATCAATTCATTTAAACTGTTAACCGGAATTGAGTGAAATTTTTCAATATTGTTCTAGAGATACGTGCTGACTATTTTCGCTTCAAGTATTAGTCGGTTTTGCATTAAAAAATTAACCTTGGGGTTCATGGCAACTAGCACTGTGGCTTCCATACCCCAATGTGACCAGCGGACTCATTTGAAATTTATTTCAGATGCGCAGGATATGGAAAAGAAAAACCGATAAGAGTCCATGGATATCAGAATACTTTAAAAGGGGTGCTAGGTTTGTAGTTATTAGTATGGGTATAAAAAAGCCGCCCTTTAATGTCATACTTCCTACCAAACATTCGAGAGAACATTATAAAGATGGCTCTGACTTTTTAAATACGTATTTCTATTTCTTTGCTCATATCACAGTTATCGTTCACATTGACATCCAAACATGTGATATTGTGGAGCCCTTCAAACTTTATTCCATACGCTCTGATGTTCATTCATTGTCACTCTGTTTTGCTGAAAACCATAATTTTTTTCTTAGAAATATTAAGTGTTAGCCCATATTTAACACATGTTTTCGGGTTTCAAAACACATGATATTTAAATGCCAAATTGGTCATTAAGGAAAGCTTTTATATTTTGTAAATCCGTAAATTGCGAAAGTAAGTGAAAACTCCGTAAATTGTGTAGTTCATAGGAAGCTGTTTATGATGTCCATTGTCACTAAATTATTCATCTAGTATATGTGATTGATGGCATTTCTGTTTTTTTATTTATTCCTAATTTTAGAACAGTAAAGTTAAATTTTTTTTGTGTTTTTGGGTAAAAGGAATTGATATAACTAGTAAGCATTACTTTAGTGATTGATTTCGTGAGATAAATTTATATTTGTATTAGATCGTTATAATAAAAATAATATTCTAACCTCTAACTAATTCTCACATCAACCACATCATATGTTTAATTTAAACCTATTGACTTAGTTTGCGTAAATTGTTTGATAGGGCATGTGCAAATAACCACCGGAAACAAATTTACTAATACTAAAACAAAAAAAACATACGCATGCTAATAATTACCTGAACAATTGCTGATACAAGAGTTACAGCACAGGCTACTTGTATGGGAGTATATCCCGTAGGAGTTACAGTAACGTCACTGGCCATGGTACCATTTACTACATCTTTTGCGGCTTTAAAATAAAGTGGATCAGCATATTCCAATACAGCTTTACCCGTCATTAAACATCCAATGGAAAATGTTCCTACAAAATATATAGAGATCAAATAAAAATAATAAAAACATCTTTACTGATTTTTTCAATGTCTTATTGGAATAATACCAGATAAAATATTTGATGCAATGAAAATTAAATACAAGCTAAATAAAACGATTTTTTTCACAATTTTCTAATTGATTATGTGCCAAGTATTATTAGGACTTACCCATTGAATTATGTCGTGAAGTTCCAAAAATAACATATACTAATGCAGGAAATACCGCCATATAAATTCCCGTTACAGGAGGTAAGTTGCCAAGGAGACCATAAGCCATACCTAAAAGAAAATCGCAGAAACTACTATTACCCATTCTTTAGAAATATAATAACAACTGATAATAATAAACAATGAATCATTAAAAATATTTTTCTTAAATTTATATTTAGTTTTTTAATTTGATAATTTCTTGTTTTTATTCTTATTCCCAGTAAGGTTAAAGTAAGGTCTGTAACTGAGACAACTAGATATTTAAGGTGTTCTACCTTTTCAAACTCATATTCGCTAATATTTAACATTGTCATATTAACTATAGAGACATGGATATCGTATTGCAGGGACCTATATAAAGATGATCAACGCCAAGAGCTTGTTAGCCAAATCTCTGACGAGGTGGAAGAAGAACCTGATATACTCGAAAATGAAGTAAGACAGGCTATCAACAAGCTCAAATATAACAAAGCACCAGATCCAGATATGATAACAGCAGAAATGCTTAAAGCCACAGAAGAAACCGGCGTAAAGTTACTTCATCTACTCTGTAACCAAATATGGCATTCCAAGCAATGGCCTGAAGACTGGACAAAATCTACAATAACGACCATACATAAAAAAGGCAGCTTCCATAAATGCGACAATTATAGAACTATCTCTGTTATATCCCATGCCAGCAATATAAGGCTACATATAATCAATGAAAGACTGAAAACATTCCTTCAAACAGAAATTCCACAAGAGCAAACTGGATTTATCAAAGGTAGAGGCACTCGAGAACACCTGCTGAATATAAGACCAATAATCGAGAAATCTAGGGAATTCAACATCCCACTATACATCTGTTTTATAGATTACCGTAAAGCGTTCGACAGGGTCAAGTGGAGACACTTATGGCGAATACTAAAAGAAGTAGGCATACCACATCTAATTACGTTTACAACTAAACTATATGAACACACTACTGGATCAGTTAAAGTACTTGACACACTTTAGAACGAGTTTCATCCAGAACGGGGTGTTAGACAAGGATGTATACTATCTCCACAATTATTCAACATATATGGGGAGTATATTATGCGAAGAGCACTTGAAGGATGGGAAAAGGGCATGTCAATAAATGGTCATAAACTAAACAACCTACGTTTCGCAGATGACACAGCCCTTCTTGCAAATAGTCAAGCAGAGCTGATGGAACTTATACGACTGATCGAAAACGAAAGTCAAATATTTGGTATGCAATTAAACATATCAGAGACAAAGATCATGATAGTGGATAGACTACACAACAATCATCCACACATAACCACAATTGACCGGTTTGAGGTTGTGAGCTCATACTTATATCTGGGATCATTAATCACAAACACAGGGTCATTACAAGAAGAGATTAAACGTAGATGTGATCTAGCAAAAGTTGCCACAGCAAAAATGACCAAAATATGGAAGGACTGTCAAATTTCAAGAGCGATAAAGATGAGGTTGATCAACTGCTTAATATTCCCAATACTGACCTACGGATGTGAATCTTGGACTATGAGACAATCGGAGAGAAGAAAGATAGACGCCACTGAAATTTTCTGTTGGAGACAAATGTTACGAATTCCTTGGACCGACCATAGAACAAATAATTTAATTTTAAGAGAGCTAAAAGTTAGCCAACGACTCTCTAGTAAAGTCCATCTCCACCAATTAAAATATTTTGGGCATGTTATGAGAGCAAACACAGAAAACATGGAAAGACTCATAATGCAAGGAAAGGTAGAAGGCCGAAGACGAGGAAGAGCCCCAACAAGATGGATAGATCAAATTACAGGAATATGCCAAAGACCTATGCATGAATTAAAAGAAATGGCCAGAGACAGAGATCTCTGGAGACGGACAATACACGACATCACGTCGACTACTACACTCCCCCTGGGGGTCAGGATTGAAGAGAGAGAGAGAGAGAGAGAGATTAACTGTATTTTTTTTTATGAGCATATTAGGTATTTTGTTTTATTAACAAACCACTTTTGGATAAATCCTTGCATAATTTTGCAAATTTTTCCTATAAACTGTTTCGGTTTTATTCTAATCAATGCTATGTCGTCAGTGTACGCCACAGGTTGAAACGTCGATGTTATAATTATTGTAACTTTGTATCTTTTATTTCGGTAGCTCTTCTCGTTCCCTCTATAGCGATGTTAATAGAAAGTCGTCCTGTCGTACTCCAGTTGCTGTTTCTACATTTTTAGAGATGCCGTGGTCTGTTACTATTACTGCCGTCGATCCCTCCATTGTCATTTTTCTAAGCTTTATAAGTTTCGTTGGTATATCTAGGTTCTTTATATCTTCTATTAGGTCGGATCTTATAAGTCTGTTAAATGCTTGTTTGAAATTTATAAAAAGGATGGGTAAGTCAATATCATTGCGTTTACTGTTGACCTCTCCTCTTAAAATTCCTACTGGTAGTTTTTTTTTATTTTAGATTCAATGTATTTGAGAGTTTTTGCCTGATTATTGTCATCAATATTTTGTAGCAGCCAATTTACAATGTTACTCCTCTATAGTTGTTGCATTGTGTGGTGTCCCCTTTCTTTAAAATAGAAAATATCCAACCTGCTCTTCATTCTGCGGCATTCTTTTTCCTTTCCAAATCTAGGTCATATATTTTTCGCAGTGGTTCTTCCCTCCTCGTTTCATTAGCTCGTTTGAGATTTCGTCTGGGCCTTCTGCGTTTTTTTGCTTTAAATTTCACCCGTAAAAATTCCTTACCTAACTGATTTTCGACTTTATTGTTATCGTCAAGGTATGTTTCTTCTGTGCATTTCTTGCCTTTCTCTAGCCTTAAACAATTCTTGGCAATGATTTTCCGTATTTTGGCATTAATTTTAACTGTTGGTTTTATCTTGTTTGGGAATTTTATATATGCATACTGTTTTTTTTCTATTTCTGCAGCATTTGTCTGAATCTTTTTTTTTCTTCTCCTATACTGTTCCAAGTCTTCCTTTATCTTTGTAAGTACAACATCACTTGACTGTAGATTTGTACACTTCTCTATGTGTTATAAGCAGTACTTGTAGAATATCAATAACTTTAACTATCGATAACGATCAATGAAGAATCTAGTTCCATATAATCTAAGATAATGTTGTTAAAATTAACTGATTTAAATGTTAAAAAAAGCGAAGTGGTATTGGCATTCAGAAAGTTTTAGGAGCATTGGTTTAACCATACTATCATCTAAAGTTTTAAAATAAAACATATGAGTTATACTGTTCTTAGCTGGTTTACATAGTTGAAGATCCATCTGATATCCCTTACTTTCTATAAGTTCTTTAAGTTTAGTTGAATGCTGGTTGGCGTCTTAATCCACTAAAGGTGATTCTCCCACGATTAAATCTTTCAAACCATCCTTTACTTACTTGAAAACTTAGGGTGGCCGCACACAGAAAGAGCAAAACTGTTTTAGTCAAAAACGTTTTTGTTTGAAATGAAAACGTTTTTGTTTCCACAAGAAACATTTTGTTTTCAAGAGATACAAATATTTTCTCAAACATTACTGCATTCAGGTTTATTAAAGATGTCGACAGATAACAACGAAATTCCACTAGTTTTCTGACAGTTGTTCCTCCAACAGACGAAAAAACGAAAAATAAAAGACTACTTCTTATTGATTACTCGAGAAGTTTCAAAAAGGGAATTCCAAAAACACGTTGCGCCTGCGTACATTGAAATGTTTCGACACAAAACGACGATCCAGTAATCAACATCAAACAGACTGACCGAAACTAAATGAGCCAAAACATGCTTTAGACATGCGACTAATCGGTGTGCGTCAGCTCATTTCATTTATATGGAAACATCAGCATCAGACTCGTTTAGTCAAAAACGTTTTTGACTAAAACAGTTTTGCTCTTTCTGTGTGCGGCCACCCTTAAAGATTCATTACCAGCCTTTAGATTTTCATAAAGCCCTTTTATTGTTTTAGTCATATGCTAATTGGCACCTCCTTTTTACTATTTTGGTGCTTAAACTGGTACGAAAAAAAAATACTAAACAAAATCTTAGATTAACAAAATCTTCACTGTTCCTTTTAGATGAATTTATTTTTCAGTATAAAAACTATGTACTACGTTAAACCCAAAACCTTCAATTGCTGTTACCACGCTATATGCGAAGAAATACGTGTGCATATTGGACTACTAGAACTACTAAAAGTACTACACTTACCTTGGGGAATATTCATAATGGCTATAGTAAAACCTGCAGCTACGTCAGCGAGGAAGTCATGTTTTAATGAGTATTTTGGTAACCATCCAATGGCCGGCACTGTATGTTTTATAAATTTTTTTAAAGTTAAGTTTTCTGGACAACATGATGCTAAAACTAAAAAAAAAGAATAATGTATCAGAGTATATACTATATACAATAATAATTTAGATTTAATAGTTCTGTATGTAACAATAGTATTGTGTGTCTTACTGAACTACTAATACTGATCTTACCAGATCATAGGTATAGTGACCAAAAATTAAACAAACAACGTCTTATGCTACCGTGCAAGGAATTAACTACTGGCTTCTTTTGGAATTATAGAAGTAGTTAAAATAAAAAGTTAAACCGAATGACTTAAATGTATGCTGAAAAGAGTTTCAATGGAAACCTTTTATTAACCAACCATTAAAGGTTTATTTTATGGCTTACTGACGTGAACTAGAGGTGGATTGACTGTATGAAAATTTCAATTTCAGGTTTTAAAAATATGTTAGAGATGCCCTAACTACTTTTATATGGAACTATCATCATCATCATCACTCAGCCCTTTGCGTCCACTGTTTGACATAGGCCTCCCTAATTTTGTCCATTGTGCTCTGTCTTGAGCAGTTTTCATCCAATTTCTTGACATGTTCTTGAGATCGTCAGTCCATCGTGTCTTCCTCTACTTCTTTTGTTTAATCTCGGACTCTACTCAAGCAATCTCTTCGTCCACCTTTCATCGCTGATTCGGGCGACGTGTCCGGCCCAGTTCCATTTTTAGTGTGGCAATTAGGAAAATTACATCGGTAACTTCTGTTCTTCGTCTTAAGTCTTCATTTCTAACTCGGTCACGAAGCGATATACCCAGCATTGATCTTCCCATTTTCCTCTGAGCTATTTGCAGCGTTTTAGAACTTGTAGCTGTCAATGTCAAAGTTTCGGCACCATAGCTCATCACAGGCAACACAGATTGCTCAAATGTTTTACGTTTAAAGAAATTGGATATCGCTTTTAACGATGTCTTTGAGTTTTCCATAGGCTGCCCATGCTAGGAATCTATTAGGCATATGGAACTATGCCTAATAGATATTATTCCAGCAATATTGCAGACGTTGCTCAAAAAACATTAATATGATCATTAATTGGAAATATACCTACAATGTGAAAAATAAATCATCGAAATACAATAAAGGGTTCAGAAGAAATATAGTTTTAAAATCATTGTCCATTTTTGGTGGTGCGTTAATTTTGGAGAGTAGTATATTTAAAATGATATACAAGAACGTTTTTGACATATTTTTGTATTATTGTTTTTTCAAATAATATAAAACCGCCTTAAGTAGTTTAAAAATAGTTAAAATTTGTTTGTTAAAATTTGTTGATTCTGTTCGTTTGTTTTGACAGTTTGAAAAATATTTGATGAGAAATTTTTATATTTTCTTAGCTTAGGTGTAAAATAAAAGTATTTATTTTTGTAAGTATTGACTTTATACCTAATGTGCCCGAATTGTATTTACTGCATGTATGACGTACAAAATGTCTTAATTAAATTTGCCACATTCGGTTCATTATTGAAGCATTTATGGTAATTTATAAACATCAAATGGTGAAATTTAATATGATCTATACTGACACATAATATATTAATTAATATTTTTGTTTATTTTCTAGATTGGACTATTTTCAGGGTGTGGAGCCTTGCAAACTCATGGCATCTAGCAAAATAATAGAGAAAGCAAAGCAAAAGGCTTTAGCGAACATTGCACGTGGTTATAAAAAATGACAAGTGACAAATATCTCTCAAATATCGTGATGAATAGAAAGTTAAAAGAACGTACCTTTCATATATCTTGATGTATTTAACAATGCATTAAATCTTGCATGCATGCACTGCATCTAGCAACGAATGAAAAGAGGTAGGTAGCATGTAAAGTACAAACAGAATTCTATCATAATGAATCTGTGACTCATAGATAAGCCACGTTTTTATTATATTTCATATTTTATTATTCATATATTATATTTTGATATTTCAAACTTAACCTGCGGTAGATTAAGTTGCGTGTGATTATTGTACAGACATTACGTAGGTAGATACTTTTAAAATATGGCGTCCTTAGAAAAACAATAAGTTCAAGCATGAGATTGAAGGACCAATAGGAGAAGATTATTATCAATTTAGAGATTTACTATGTGGAACTTAAGCCAAATAATAAACATCTCTCTAACGTTGCCAAAGGTATAATGAAAAATATGTATGAAGGACTATGCTCTGAACTTACTAAATTCGAGGCTATTACAGAAACTGTTTTTTAACAAAAGTGCCACCGAACTAGTTTATGCAGAGAATATTAAGTTTATTTCAACTTATCCTCTTCTTCTTTTTCTTCTTCTTCTTCATCTTTTTCTTCTTTTTATATAGACATGATAAGACATTTACATAGACAGATAATCTACGGTGGAGAAAACGTATGGATCAACGACGCGCTATTAATATTTGCCAAAAAATTTAAGATGCGTCATTGAACTATCACAATGACATGAACAGTGGTCTTTTTGAGTCTTGGTTTGAAAAAACTTCTCTCAAAATTGCTCCAAAATAGCGTAATTATCATGGAAAATGCTTCATACTATTCCAAATTAATTTAAAAAATACTGAAATCTACTTGGAACAAATCCCAAATCCAACAATTTTTATGTGAGGATAATTTATGGTATTTACGATTTACCACGAATCCAAATGTTTTGGCAAATGGATATTAGGGTACCAATAGTTTTAGACAACATGTCAAGAAATCCTTGACAACATGTCAAGAAAATTGTTGACGATGACTCAGTAATCAAGCATATTAAAGAAAATAATAGATTCTGGAAAGTAAGACCATTTTTGTATAAAATTCAAAGGGCTTGTCTAAATAATGAAAGAACTGAAAAATTGTCAATCGAAGAGCAAATGATTCCCTTTCATGAAAAAGTATTAATGAGACAGTTTGTGCAAGGAAAACCTAACATAACGACTACGATGGGATTCCACTTGATTTTCACATGTATGAAGGTAAAGGCAGATTTATCCAGCTTGATATCCAGCTTTGATTTAAGAATCCAGCTTGATACTTACACCAGAACAGCTGGATATCGGGGAAAGGGTTGTTTTAAAACTTAAAGATACTCTGCCAGTAGGAGTGTATGTTTTTGTTGACAGATATTTTACGTCAAAAATATTGATTGATACATTACATTCACGGAAGCTTTCTGTAACAGGAACACTAATAAAAAATAGAATACCAAAAACTGATGTTTTTTTTAAGACAGATAAAGATCTTAGAAAATCAGGAAGAGGCTCCCACGATATGCTCGTTAACAAAGACAACAAAAAAGCTTTTACAAAATGGTGTGATTCCAAACCAATCTGTATGGCTTCATCAGCATTTGGAGCTTAACCCTTGGGATTGTGTAGACGCTGGTCAGTAAAATACAAAAAATGTATAGAAATAAATCGTCCAGCAGTGATTAAGCACTACAATGAAAGCTTGGGTGGAGTAGATTTGCTGGATAGGATTATGTCAAAGTACCCTATGAGCAGTAGAACAAATAAATGGAAAATGTATTTCCGCCTTTATTAATTTTTGTGCTGCAGCTAGTTGGCTATAATACAAAAGAAAACTTGTTTAGCTGCAGAAACCACTTAAAAACATATTCAAGATTCATCATCATCATCTTTAGCTCTACAACCCTGGGTGAGTCTTGGCCTGTTCAAGAATTAGTCTCCATTCCCCTTTATCTTTCGCCCTGGCTTTCCAATGAAGAAAAACCAAATACACACATCCAAAATGTCTAAGGAACTCAAGCAAACGCTTTGCATGCAAAAATAAGTAAGTAAAGTTTTTCGGTTGATATGCTTACTCTCTTAGTAGGATGGCTACAACGGTGGAAAAATCGCCATGGATTTGGAAACTTTCTATTTCGGGTGAAAAATTTATCACTATTGACCACATTTTTTCGTTAACCCAGATAATAGAAAAAAAGATGGTACGAAATAAAGATATTCATATGTTGTTCGTCGACCTACGAAAAGCCTACCGTTCCATTAAAGCAGCTGTAGCAATCAATGGAGAGTAAGAATATTAATAGAGTTAATAAAAGCCGTCAAAGTGCTATACAACCCACCAATAACAAAAATAAAAGCAGGAACACAGATAACAACAGGATTTATAACATCAAAAGGATTAAAGCAAGGATGTTGTCTGTCTTCCACTTTATTTAAAATATACCCCAAAAGTGCTTTAAAAATATGGAAACAACAATGCAGGACAATGGGGATACCGCTCACCAACACTATGGTATACACACTCGATTTGCAGACCATTAAGTAATAATGGCTTAAGAATATGACGATTTAAACTATATGGCACGAAAATTAAATAAAGAGTATGATATATGGGGTCTAGAAGTAAATAAAACAAAACCGAATACCTGTGCAATGGAGTGAAAAGAAAGTGCAATGGATATGAAAAACATCTCATATTAGACGATAACACCACGATAAAGCACTACTGTGACTACAAATATCTAGATACCACTATTTCACAAGATGAAACATTAGACAAAGCCATAAGAGAGAAAAATACTTCAGGGAGAAAAGCTATCACAATGGTAAACGGCATTTTCTGGGACCAATCCATCAGCAAAGAAAATAAAAAGAGGATATATGAGACTGTAGTAAAAAGTATCACTTTATACAGCTGTGAGGTATGGCCACTGAAAGAAAGAACAACTGGCAACGCTGAAAGCGATGGACATGGATTTTTGGAGAAGAGCCGCAGGAAGATCTAGAAGAGAAAGCATTGCCAACGAACGCGTTAGAGAAATAATGGGAATTAAACGAACAATCACAGATGACCTAACAACAAAATAACTTATCTGGTTTGGACACATACAAAGAATGGATAAACAACTAATACCAAAAGAAATATTAAAATAGAAACTAACGGAGAAATAAAATGGCTATTCTTACAGCCGAACGTGACTCTACTAATTCAAGCTATGGATCTAGGAGTAGTTGAATGCTTTAAAAAATATCTCAGAGAAAATTAGTTGGATCCATTTTGGAACAGAAGAATAGCGATGTGATACAGGACATAAACAAAGTTACGATCAAAGATGTAATTTGAGAATACAGTAGTTTGCACGGAACGAAATTTCTCCTGAAACAGTGAAAAACCCTGGTGCAAACTTTGGAACATCACTAAGGACGTCAATAAGGACGACATAGAAGACCTTACAACATTGGAAGTTGCCAACTACTTTCAAATTATAGATCCAGCGACAAAAAACCGATAAATTTACAGAATTGCTGGCAAATATTGACGAAAATTACCCTAAATATGGGAAATTAAATGATGAAGAAATAATATCCACTTTTGTATCAGAAGAAAAAGAGGAGAAACCTACGGAAAATCCAAAAGTCTCTCATTTTTCTGCAAAGGAAGCATTCTAAATCGCTTTAAGATACGGTAAAGTTTACGAAGATTGCAAACCTTTTTGTTTAAATAATGGCGAGATGAAGCAGCAAGATCACGAGAAACCAGACTACGGTAAAAGAAATAACCCAGTTTAAGATTTGTTTTCTTTTTTATATACAATATTTAATTTGTTTATAAATATTATGGGGTTTATTTATGTTTATAAATGAATGGGGTGTAGAGTTGTGTTATAGAGGTAGCATCTTTTATCGGAACGACCACATCGAGCGTCATAGACGGGAGATGGTTCTTGATAACTGGTCCTCATAAGACAGCTAACTCTCACTTATGGCTCCACGTGCCACACCCCGGTCAACTGCATTGGTCTGCAGGCTAAACTAAGTGAGGGTAGCCAGATATGGCGAAAATCCCACCGAGCGATTGCCGGTATAAGCAATCCCACACTTACTGACCAACGGCTTCGGGCGGATGAGTTGGTAAGTGGTAGGGCACCCTTTTGTCCTGGAGTTGAAAAATCCGCTTCGAAGGCGGAGGAACTATTAAGTAGTCAACGGCATAAGGATGTGGAAAGCCACGGGATGACTACCACATTATATATCCCTAGTAAAACCATCATGACGAGTAGGAGTTTTAAAGATGATATGCCATGCGACCCGATTAGCGACCGGCGTCGTCGAGTTTCCGGGCTGGACGATGTGAAATCAGAGACCGGCCACGCAACGGTGGGTACCAGGCCTTGCGTGGGAAATATGCGACTGGATAAAACAAATAAACATATCAGAAAAAATACTATTAAGATAGCTACATGGAACGTAAGAACTCTTTATCAGACTGGAAAACTAAACAACGCAATTAATGAAATGAAGAGGCTCAAAATTGATATTCTGGGGATGAGTGAAATAAGATGGCCAGGTAATGGTAAGTGCGAGAAGGAGGATGCAACAATATTTTTTTCAGGCAGCAGAGAAGAAGATGTCAACCATAGGCATGGAGTAGCGGTTCTAGTAAATAATAACATCAGAAAACATATAAAAAATTTTATTCCATATTCAGAACGCTGCATGTTGATCCAGCTAAGTGCGCACCCTCTAGACATAAATATAATTCAGGTTTATGCTCCCACATCGGAGAGTACGGATGAAGAAGTTGAAGAGTTTTACGAACAGTTAGACGACATCATAAAAAACCTAAAGAAACAAGACATAACCATGGTAATGGGAGATTTCAACTCCAAAATAGGAAAAGGCGAAGTCAGTGACGTAGTTGGCAAGTATGGGTTGGGAACAAGAAATGAACGAGGTGATCGACTAATACAGTTTTGCCAGGAGAAAAACTTAATTATCACAAATACTTGGTTTAAGCTACCAGTAAGAAGATTGTACACTTGGAAGTCACCACAGGATAGGTCTGGGTACATCGTTAGAAATCAGATAGACTTCATAACAATTAACAAACGATTCCGTAACGCAATAATATCAGCCAAAACATATCCTGGAGCTGATATAAACTCTGATCATAATCCTCTTGTAGCCCAATTACGAGTAAGACTAAAAACCATAATCCAGAAACAGAATAACAAAAGATTAGATATGGATCAACTTAGAAATCCTGAGATAAAAGCCAAGCTTACAAATAGCATTAATAGTAATGTTGCTTTAACAACCAACACTGATGATATTGAAAGAGACTGGATCAACTTAAGGGACGCTATATGCAACGGTGCAAAAGAAGTAATTGGTGACTCCGAGCGGAAGAAGAAGAACGAGTGGATGACAGATGAAATATTACACCTTATGGACAGAAGGAGGGAAAATAAGAATAATCCCGAACAATATAAAGAACTGGATAGAACTGTCAGCAGAAAGATAAAAGAATCCAAAGAGAAATGGTTGCAAGAAAAATGTCAAGAGATAGAAGAGCTAGAACGAAGACACGATAGTTTTAACATGCATAAAAAAATCAAGGAGTTTACTTATACTTACAAGAAAAAACAGTTTGGTAGGTTAATAGACGAGAACAATAAACTTATTGTAGATAAAGAAGAACAGTTACAGACTTGGGCAATCTACATAAAAGATTTGTTTACGGATTATCGTCATATTTCTACGAACACTCTTGATCTGAATGGACCAAAAATATTGAAAAGTGAGGTGATAAAAGCTATAGATCAAACGAAAGATGGGAAAGCAACAGGATGCGATGAAATACCAGTCGAATTCTTAAAAGTTTTTAACGAGAACAACCTGAATGTAGTATTGGAACTGTTTAATAAGATATACGATACTGGTCAAATTCCATCGGACTGGTTGAAATCTACATTTGTGCCCCTTCCCAAGAAATATAATTCTAAGACGTGTAGTGAATATCGCCTTATAAGTTTAATGAGCCACACCCTTAAAGTATTTTTGCGTATTATCCATTCCAGAATACGAGCAAAATTAGAACACAGCATAAGTAAAACACAGTTCGGTTTTAGATGCGGTTTTGGAACTCGAGAACCCCTCTTTGCAATACAAGTTTTGATTCAAAAATGCCTGGATCAACAGAAAGATGTTTACGTCTGTTTTATCGACTATGAGAAAGCATTCGATACTATCAAACATGACAAACTCATAGAACTATTACGTCTTTCAGGACTTGACACTAAGGACATCCAGATTATAAAAAATCTATATTGGAATCAAACAGCCCACATGAAGAATGGACATATGGTGAGTGAAAACATAACCATTTCTAGAGGGGTAAGACAGGGCTGTATTCTTTCGCCACTGCTTTTCAACCTGTACACGGAACAAATATTTCTAGAGGCACTAGAAGAGTACAATGAGGGCATCAAGATTAATGGCGTACCAATAAGTAATTTTCGATATGCAGATGATACTATTATACTGGCCGATAACATCGAAGATTTACAGATGATGCTACATAGAGTTAATACAACTGGCAGCCGATTTGGACTGAAGATCAATAGAAAGAAAACTAAATTTATGGTGATCAGTAAAAAAAAATTTCAACATATCGACCTGCATATTGAAGACGAACGTATTGAAAGAGTACACCGATTTAAATATCTGGGATATACAGTAAATGACAAGTGGGACCCAGAAGTAGAGATTAAGATCCGAATTGAAATAGCAAGATCCAAATTCATCAAAATGAGAAAGCTCTTAAGCAACCGCAACCTAAGCATTAACCTCCGATGGCGCGCCACGAAATGCTACGTACTCTCTACGCTACTTTACGGCGTAGAAGGGTGGACGTTAACAGCAGCAACTATAAAGAAGTTAGCGGCTCTAGAAATGTGGCTGTATCGACGCATACTGAGAATACCTTGGACAGACAGAGTGACCAACACAGAGGTATTAAGACGAATGGGTAAAGAGGTGGAATTGTTAACAACTGTTAAAACGAGAGAAAAGCGTCATACCTGGGCCATGTGTTCCGTAATGATAAGTACAGTCTGCTACAGCTTATCGTGGAAGGCAAGATTGAAGGTAGAAGAGGTTTGTGCAGAAAGAAGAAATCCTGGCTGAGAAACTTGAGAGAATGGTTTCAAATACCAGAAGCTGCGAACATAATTCATGCGGCACAAAACAGAGAAACCTATCGTATGATGGTCGCCAACCTTCGGTAGAAGACGGCACATAAAGAAGAAGAAAATGTTAAGTACACTTTTAAATTGAATAAAGACATTTTTTAGGTATCTCCTGTTAGTTCTTCCTTTTGGCCGTTCCGCCCCACCTCCTGATCTCATTGGGGTCGGATTAGCGAGGTTCTACTGAAAATGTGCTTTTATTGCTAAGCCGTCTAGATTTTTATTGTATGGTCTATTATTTTAATATGTATTATATATACTTACGTCAGAGAGGTTACTTATGGCAGAGAACAGCTCAAGATAGGGAAAGATGGAGAGAACTGGGGGAGACCTATATCCAACAATGGAAGGATAGAAAATAGGTTGAAAAAAAAAATACTTACGTCTACTTTTATTCTTCTCATAGCTGAGATCGTCTCGTAGTTGTTTTTGTTCATAAAGAGGTCGATCTATTTTTATAGCAGGTACGTCCATTGTTATGGACAGTGTTTAAATATATTTATTTAGATCTGCAACAAAAGAACCAATATATAAATACCAAATAATTTTAATCAAATAATTGTATAATTTTCATGGAAATAAACTGGGTACATAACTGTTAGTTAACGATAAGGCAAAAAGTAGGGATTTTTTTAATCGCAGCTAATGTGTTTACGATAATTAAGAAACGTAACGAGTCTAATTTTACCGATAGAGACTTGAAGTTTTATTTTACAAATTTTAAAAACGATTAAACTTAAACAGCATTGTCTGTGAGTGTTAAAAATTAGGCTGAACTTGGAATTAGTCGGTCCGTGTCAATACAACTCTTAATTTTCACCCTTTTATCACTAACCACTATGTTTTAACCCTGTAAGATCACACCGATTTTTTTTAACATATACCGCATATATGGGTATCAGATACCCAATGATTTTTTGTGAAGAAACAAAAAAAAGTTTATATTTTATGATTTCCAGAGACTGTTTAATCAGTATTGAATACACAAGAATAATTAAATCAATCATTTTATTTTATCCCTCTTAATTGTAGTAATACAAAAGAAAAAAATATTAAAAATATTTAAAAATAATTAAGCAACATTTTCTAAAAAGCCAGGAACATTATTTAACATATTTTACCATAATTTAACAACAAAATGGTCTTTCTAACTAAAAGCTAACAACTTTTTATTATATAACTCATATTCGTTCTTAGCCACTACACAGGTGACTACATTCACAACACAGTTTAGCTCTATGCTTCACGCATTATGCTTTATGGCACGCATAGCATGCATGCTTCGTTTTTCTATTTTTCCTTTGCAGAAATAACACCTAGTTTGGTTTACTAAACTTGTAGGATGTTGTGTTGGAAGGTCTTCAACTTGAAGAGTGCCACACATTGTTTGCCTGAGTGATTTCTGTAAAGAAGGTATTTAGAGTCTCTCTCGCATTAGTAGTTCAATTAAAGCCATTACCAAAGACTTCACAAATGATCTATTATTAGATGTATTTTATTTTCAATGAGGATTTGTGAGAGAAAATAGCACCATTGCATTTATACCCCTTGCAGCAGGCGTGTTAAAAAAATTCTTAGTGGTCATCGTCTGGATCCAAGTAATCTCTCAACATTTTTAACTGGTTTAAGATCTATTTAACTATCACTTTCATCAGTGTCGGTATTGGAGTTTTGTTCTTCGACATAATTCTCCTCAGAATCGGAATCGTACCAAAGATATTTTGACCACCATCCTCGTTGTTTTCATTAGGAAATAAATTTTCAGCTTTCCTTTCCACTTCAGCTTGAGTCAATAGAGAACGTTTTTTCGTTAAAAAAAAATCATTATTAAAAAATTAAATTATCGTAAACCTCACACATGGGTGCTACATATCCTAGCGTTTATTCAATAAATTTTCGTGATTGGAGATATTGCTCGAATGAGACCGCAACTACATATCCGTCCTTGGCAGACTACAGACTGAATTTACATGAAGCGGCATTACCATTGAAATCCGGTTGAGCATGCTACATTCAGTTAAGTGTCTGGATGCGTATCTCACACCCAAGTGTGGGCTTCCAGGGTTAATAGCCATATTTGTAATTTAATAATTTTACTCTTGGTCGACAATTGATCAATTATCACTAGATTAGTGATCAACTCCAGGCGTCCACCAGTGTCACTTCTCAGCCAGTAAACAACACGAAGTAGGAATGAGAACGAAGCTGTTCTCCTGTCTCTCTCACACAATAAGCCTTCTTTCACTGCGAAATCTCTACACAGTTTGATCGACCGGACAAATAAAATACATTTGAAAGACGAAGAAGGAAATGACTGCAAACATTAAAAAACGGACTAAAACATAGTAAGACAATGAAAAAATAGTTAAAATTACAGGGATATTTAACCTTTAAACGAATCATCTAAAATGTTTTCAATATATAAACAAATTAATTTTCTCAGAAGTGTAATTGGTGAATCAGTGTAAATTCAGACGAGGACTTAACATAATGAATCAAAATTTCCAATTGCCAGCAAGAATATTAACGTATTGTGAAATATTGGATAGCCCTATTAATGAACTTTAAACAAGCTTTTAATAGATTAAGTAGAAAAGTAATTTATAAGTTACTACAAAAAACAAGTAATAATTAACAAGAAAGACGAAAGTGACACAAAAAAAAGTGTTAACAGAGTTGAGACATAATAGTAAAGAAACTTAAGAGCTTAAAGTAAATGATCGACAGCAATAATAAAATCTACTATCATCGCTGTTATTTAATTGTTGTTGAATCATTATACAGACATTATCTGTTCTAAAACACACTTAATTTGGTAAAACGTATATGATTTTATTTTTTTGCTTTAACCGTTTCAAAATATGTTTAAAAATTGATAATTCCACTACGCGAATATTTCAAAAGGTACTTTTTGTTAAACAATTTGTGAAAAAATAATCAAAATTCTTCTTTTTTTCTTCTTTCCGTTGCCATCTCCCAGCAGCTATGTATTTTAGCAAAATGTTGTACAGACAAAAAAGTTTTGCAATTACATTTCCTACAAGATATAATTATAACAACAAAAATAGTCAAAAATAATCTTATTAATATTCTTTTGCAGGTTTAAAAGCTACATAGAACATCCAAAATTTACATAGAAAATATTTTTTTAATATAACAAAAAACTACATAAAATTTCAACACAATCGATCTAAACTTTTTAAAATAAGTTTAAAATAATTATAACAATAAAACATTGAAAGCTTTGTTTTCAAAACTTCCACAAAATTGATTATAAACTCTTATCACTACAGCGGTTTCGGCAAATTGCCTTTCTCAAGTGATCTATTTTTGGCATGCGTGTATACTTTGTAGTCTTTAATGAAATAGGTTGAGGAGGGGTGAACTGTTTGTCTCAAATTGGTCATTAAGAATTATATCTGTGTTTTTTAATTTGTCAATTTTCATACATTTTAACAAATATAGTTTAAGGCCTTTATTTAGAATGTGAAGAATTTTAAATTCGTCATTAAAAGAATGAGTATGATCTAAAAGGTGAAGTGCGTATGTAGAATCCGATTTTCTATTATTGAAAGTCCTTTTATGTTCTGATAGCTGTTTTTTTTAAAATAGGTGAAAGGAATGAAAAGGACCAACTTTCAGAACAACTTAGACAAACATATTAAAAACAACAAGAGATAAAATAAAAAACACTTACACAGTGGTGTATACTTAAATGTGGACATTGCAAAAAATCTTACATCGGTCAAACAGGTAGCAATTCAAAATAAAGGCCTTAAACTATTTTTGTTAGAATCTATGGACATTAGCAAATTAAAAAACACAGATATAAATCTGAATGACCAACTTGTACAGTACAAGTAATCCAATCGAGTAAGTCGAATCCATCAATTATTTAAATTCATTTTCAAAATTATGCAGGTATATTAATCAGTTTTAAACACTTTTTATATACTGTAAAAATTTAAATAATTTTTACATATTGAAGGTCAATAAAATTAAAATAATTAAAATCCGTTGAATAAGAGAGCCTAGGAATGATTTTACACATTACAATTTTTAAGCTCATCAATAGAATAACTTTTTCATTAACATTTTGTTTTTAAACGTATGGTACAAGATCCCACTGCAGGATCACTACATTTATAACGTAGTTAATCAAACTCACATTTTTACATACATTTAAAATTATTAGAATACATTGATAATAGTTTTTTAGTAAAAAAGTGACTTCAAATATTTTGAAGTAGTTTTTGACAAATATTTTATTTCATTTATTTATTTTTTTAATAAAATACGCTACTTATAATGGATATACATGTTTTTTTATATCAAATAAAAGCTAATTTATTTCTTAGTATAATGATGTAAGGTTACCTGAGAAAAAAAAACTAAAATCGAGTTAAAGCGATTTTATTTTAAATCGGTTAAAGGTTTTTTTTTAAATCTTTAAAAAAGTTTTCCATGTAAAATTCACCTTTTTCCGGTTATTCAACATCATATTTATGTTTGGATTTTTGTTTTAGATGAATCAAAATCCACTTTAAACAGTCATAACCTTGTTAATATTAAGTGTACGGTAATAATAAAAAAAAAACGAATCAGTTTGTTTTCTAAGCTATATTTTATATTTAAACAGCTTTTCCGATAAAATCTAATTTTTTTTTGGTTATTTGCCAAAAATTATTTAAAAACATGCTTTTTGACGTGTAATTTGTAAACTTTCAATCTCGAATAACTTCAATAACGATGACTGTTTTTGTTTTAAAATGCACTATTCTAGCGATTTCTGTACTTTTTTTTACAAACTTTCTCACCCCAGAGTTATGGTGGTACCCAAACTCAAACTCAGAAGAAAAGCCCATATTAGCATAAAGGCAAACAGTTTACCTCTTCTAGAACGGAAAATACCGAAAATTATTTTTTTTTCTATTTCTACTGGAGCAAACCTTTTTTATTCAATTTTATATATTATATATATATATATATATATATATATATTTATATATATATATATATATATATATATATATATATATATATATATATATATATATTTATATATATCCGGTTTTTTAGGGGCAGGGATCTATGGAGGAGTATCACCGAGCCGCAAGCCCTTATCTCTTGCCGTACTGCTCCACCATAGGCCGATCAGAACCCAGCATATCCTAGTCTAAGCCGCAGATTCATCTAGAATTTTAAACTGCTGCGTTAGACTTTTTGTTTTCTGTACACCGAGCTTGGGCTCGACCCACATCCACTAAACCATTCGACAGTGAAGCGAATGAGAGGCAGCCGCACAGCCCGCTGAGCTATCTGACCGACTCAATTTTATATATTTAAAAAAAAACAATTTCCCGAATGGCTTTAAGTAAAAGTAATTGTTTTCGAGTAATCTTGGTAATTTTTTAAAAAGTGCTTCCTTTTCAAGTTACTTGCTATTTTTTGTTGAAAAAATGCCTCAGTAAGTTATTTTTATATTTTTATTATACTAAATAAATTATCG